TTGAATGGGTTTCTGGTTAGATGACTGAAATAAGGTCTGTTGTTAACAAGCCATTTTCAAGTTTTATTCTACGACATAAAATACATCAGTAAATACCCCAGTGCTGATTTCTTGAAGCTTTTACGTCTGTTAAAGGCCGGTTGTTAACAAGTGCCTAAATGAGACTACAGAGGTTGTCGGGGACGTTAAACATCATCACGCTGAACAGCCTCGTTGTATTTATACAAACTGTCACGAACTCTGTCAGATGAAAGGCTTTTGTAGAGGAGGTCAGAGCTAAATCAAACTACAAGCTGAAGTTTAGTGGTGGTGATGTTCAGGTCATGTGACCGTGGTGTAGTTGGTTTATAGTCAAACATTAGCTTTTTACTTCTGCTGATTGTATTTAGGCTTCAAACATCATAAAGCGGTGTTCAGTATTGAAGATGATCCTGCTGAACAAAACCTGTCAGGATCATTAACTGCTGTTTGTTTTCTCTAATAATCCAAAAGACATGTAAAAATCCCATTGACTTTTTGTGGAGGGAACCAGCGTGATGCCAACATGCTGGTTGGCCTTTAAAAACATGTTATCCCTGCTGCACTCTCTAGTAAAATCCTACCTCAATGCAACATATGATCTATTTCATTGTAAGGTCTTGATCTTAATGTAAGTTGTTATTTGACAGTATGCAAATAAACTTGAATTGAATTATAAACTGCTGTGCAGAGTAAAGACTTGTGCAAAACAACAGTGGCATATCATGAGATATCAGTCTGAAACTTTATAAATGACACATTTCAATGTAAACAAACACATGATGACAGCATTCCAGACACAGAAATGAAAGTTGTCAAAAGCTTCCTGCTCCTGTCTATTGTGTAAAAATAATAAAAATACAATACAATAAATGATAAAGATTTTGATCAGTATCTACAGTACTCTAAAGTCATTTTGAGAAAGATTGATTTACCTTGATTCTCCACTGCTGTTGCTTACACTTTCATCCTCACTGCGTCCAGCCATGTTGAAGTCCAAAATATAGACTTCCCCTGACAACCTGTAGTATTATGTTCCACGTGGTGAACCTGATAGAAGATACACATTAAAAACATAATAAGTACTGTTTAGGAAATGTGAGGACAGTACCTTGTGGTTGTTAAAATATGTAACAACTTGGGTATACTGCACAATGCAGATACAAATGCTCATGCTTATGAAGTAAAATGCATTTGCAGCTCAGAACACCATCCCAAACAAACTATAGCCCCTGCATCAAAGTTCAACAAATGAACTGTCCTTGTGGAGCTGTCACTACACTTTCGCACGAAATCTTTTTAAATGTCAATATCTTTAAATTCATTTACGCTCTGCGCTTCCGCTCATAGCGAGAATAAGTGTCTCTGTTGCATACTAAATCACTTAAAAAAATATATGTTAAGTTAAAATTTTAACAGACAGTCCTGTGCGGATGGCTGTTGCTAACAGCATTTGTTCTCTCACCGCAGAGGCCTATCAGGCCTGCGCAGCAGCAGCGTGTTTTCTCACTTACACAAAGCTCCGTGAGATTTATAACCACTAAATAACCTCACTTGCCTTAGCCGTGGGCAAAAACCATCTTATACTACTCGAGGTGATACAAACCTTCGATTCGGACTACCATTTAGTCTTACTGTTGCTACAGATTAGCTTGTTGCTAACTAGCTAATACCGGTTAGTGACGCAAACATTAGCTATTGGCGGGGTACGTTAGCAGTAGTGTGTACAGAAACGATCAATGCGCCAGTCAATATTTCATCTCTAAATTCAAACAGACAATAAAACCCCACAACAAGCGGCAATATCGTATTACCACCAACAGCTTGATTAATGCTAACCACTGTGCTAGCCACTGTCTCCTACGTATAACCAATTACTGTTTGCTAGCGCTAGTGTGTTATGCTAGCATTATGATTTTCAGGATTAGAAAATCCTAACACTTGTAAAACAAAAAAAAACAACAGTTAGCGTTAAAATTCCACAAAATGCGCCGCAACTATGTTGGCCAAATGTTAAACGCGGTGCCCATTTTATTTTAAGTCAGCGTGAGTTCAATGAACATTCGGGGAGATGATAGCCCAGCGTTTACTGAGGTTGTCAAGGAAAGTACCATTGGCTAACGTTGTGAAGCACGAGGCTACCACGGAAGCTAACAAAATGACAAAACTTTGCCCCAGTTCATCTGAGCAGGGAACCGCTGGAATGTTCATTTACCAGTTATGGTCGACAGTCGCTGTTTAACAGTCACCCATATTTCACTATGCAAATGTCTGTGCAAGTAGTGGACCACAGTAGAGTTCTAAACTTATTTACTATTCATCATTAAACCCACAAACCCAAATTAGCTAACCTAACTTCACCCTCTTCCATCTTGTTTTAATTCGCCGCTCACTTCTCGCGGCTTTTACCACATAAACATGCAGCGCTAGCTTACTTTCTCGCTGAACTAAGGGACGAGTAGCTCCACGCTGTATGTTACTTTGAGTTAATTTATGTTACCTGGGAAACTCCAATGAAATAGTTGTCTAAATCCACCTTTCCACTTCAGAGGTCCTTTCTTCTTTTATTTAACTAGTGAGCTAGCAGCTGCTGGTAGCTAACGCTACCTTACGCTAGCTAGCTATCTCCCAGTTCGGGAGAGCAGCCCCGAACGATTCAGTTCTGTAAAGCTGGTGCAATGTTGGTTTTCCTTTCGCTTCAAAAATCAAGTTAAGTCCCCTCTCCCGTTTTAGATGTAAGCAAAGTCTAATGCTCGTCGGTCAACTGCGATTGTAGAAAGCTGGCATTTCAATCCAGGGTCCTCCGACCACCGGCCTCCGCCATGACGCCGTAGGGTTCACTTCACTAGGAAACCCCGGGCAGTGACGTAACGACTGTGCTTCTCATTACAGCAACAGCAGCAAACATCTGGCAGCGGGCATGTATTGGCAATAAGTACTTCTTCGTAATAAATTAAAGTATACACTGGCATGTTAATTTAAATCGTCCAATCAACAGGGCTGTAAAATGTGAAAATGCGATTTGTTTTAAGGATTAAAACGATTCTCTGATTTAGACTAAATCAGGCCTGTTCTACCCAGTCATTATTAAAATGAAAGGAAAAACCTGAAAAATTCGTGGAGAAACAGGATGACATTGTCCCCATTCATAGGGCCCGAGGGGTCAGTGAGTGCTTACTAAGACACTTTTAAATTGTCTATAGGTTCTTAATTGAAAACAAAACACCACAGGCAATTACCATCACTATTATGATATACATTTACATTTAAAAAATTATTCACCCAAAATAATATTTCAACAATCATTTCTCATAACTGATATGTGGTCTACACAGTTATCTTTGCAGTGTGTTTGGGTGGTGACCATGAATACTGTAGGCTTCTAGATTCATTGCCTGCTGATATGCCTTTTTCTGCACAGCCTACGAATGTTTTCTACATACAGAAAATGGCACCACTGTTGATCTTTTGCAAAACTAAAATTCAGCAGCTGATGATATATATACCAGCACTTGTACACACCTCCTTCAATGCAAACATACACATGTAAAGTCACCACAAACATCTTTTTTTTCTTTTTTAAGAGCACCTATAGACTTGTTTGAAGTTTGTGTTTTTTTATCTCAGTGTTATGTTATATCCACTGACTTATGTTAAATACACATTTGATATCCCAAGTAACACATAGTGGGTCACACTCTGTAGTAATAGATAGGATCTTGTTAATTTCTTGCCTATCTCTGTTTTGCATTTGGGACATGGTGGGGAGGAGTCAGTGTTGGGAGGGGGATATGTGGGCCCAGCAAAATTTAAAGAGTTGAATTGCTCTGTTGCAGACAATCAAGTTTGCACTCTCCTAAGCATCATTCCAATCATCACCTGTGATCTGTACATTGGGTTCTCCATGTTCCATGTTCCCTTTGGGTGAGAAGGGCTTGTAATGTCAGACTCTTTGACCACACTGTAGGAAGACCTTTCCAACTGTAGTAAGAAAAGCTGCCTGTTGGAGCTAGAGATATTTTGATTGTCAGGTGGAGGCGATTTGAGACCTGCCCTCTAATCTTCTAATAGTCCATCACGGTGGATGTTTCAAAGATTTAGCGTTTTTAATAAATAGTTAGTTTGTTAACTCATACAGACATGTAATATTTAATTTTGTAAATGTCATATATTTATTCTAATTTGTTTTGTATTTATATTCCTTGTTTGTGCTATTTTATTTCTTGTTCTGTGTGTTGTAAGATGTCCTTGAGTGTTTTTAAAGGCGTCCTGATGTCACCATATAGTCATCTATAAGTAAATGTTGGCTGTTATTATCATATATATATATACATCCTCTGCATATATGAAGATAACATATATGAAATACCCATGGTAAAATTTATATACAATAACAATATCTATATGATGAATGTTGAGACCATCTATTTATTTTATATATGCAGGTTTATTAAAACAACATATATAATATATATGTTTTTGGGGTTTTTTGTTAATTTTTAATTACTTTTAAACATGTCTATCTTCCCATTAGGAGAAAATGGTACCTACTGTTTATAACATCAACATACTGTATATTGACAGGATTTGGGATGGAAATATATTTATAAATATGTTTACAATATAAGCATACATACATAAACATAACAACATTTGTATGGACTACAGGTATGTCAATATATGAAATTGTTCCAAATTCTAATAGGTTTCATAATTTTTACATATATGCTTTATTTTACATATGGAAATTCAATATATGTAGATATCTAGCCTATTTGTGGTTAAATGGACAGTTAAATTGAAATGTGACAATGAAGTGAAAAGGAGAATCATTGGCCGGCTCAGTGAGCTCGTTGTCTCTGACTCCGGACCAATAGGAAATGATCCAGGAATCTGGCAGCCCCGGAGCGGAAGGACATATTGTGCATCTCTAAACATTAAAAGCAGTGATAAAAGGATGCTTCTGCTGAGCCGTGAAAACACCACCAGCCCCGTCCACAGCACAGACTCAGACTAATCTCCCATATACAAACATATTGAAGTAGGCGACCTCACAGAATCATAACAATGGGGTGACAGAGCGATGCTCAGAATAAATGGACTGCACTCCACAGGGTGAGTATATGGCCGCCAATGTCGATTCATTTAGCTGCATCATTGTAACAGCTTAATTTAGAGGACATGTGCCGGATATCATTTATTTAGCAATAAACATGAAGCAGCAGACACGGAGGATGTTGAAGTGCGTTAAATAGACCCGTTAAACTGATGGACTCAGGTCCCAGTGGAGAAATGTAACGACGTAGGCAATGCGGAGGTGCAACACACTGAGCCTCGTCTCTGATCCTTACAGGGAGATGCTCCTCTTGTCGCAGACACCAAAGATTAATATGTTCTGCTATGCATGTGGGAGAGCTTGTGCACGGATGATTTTAAAGTCGCAGTTCAATGAATATGAACTTGAGTATGACTCATAATGGAAATACGAAAATGGAGCAGAAGCCAGGGTCAGATTAACCTGCTAGGTGGAAATAACCTGCAACATACAGATATGTAATATATGACATATGCAGTATGTCTCTATATCAAGATTGATGCTGCCATATTATGTTTATATATATACGTGTGTGTGTGTATGTGTGTGTGTGTGTGTGTGTGTGTGTGTGCTTTGGGCCCCCACACACACACACACACACACACACAATATAATACATACATAAACATACATATTTGTATGGACTGGACATATATGTTATATGAAATTGTTAAAATTTCTAATAGGTTTTATATATAATATTTACATATATGTTTTTATTTTATCTGTACATATATTTCATTTACATTTACGCATGGCTGTTGTTGTAATAATCAGGCACGGAGCACAAAGGAAAGTAATAATTTAGAAATAATGAAGTGGAGTCCTGTGTTCTGCCACATATTTTTTGGACATTTCAGCTCCTACTTTTACCTGAATATTCTCTCATTTAAAAAGTCCCTGATTCCCATTAAATGCATTTTAATTAAAATCCTTCTTTCTCATTGGGTGTTTCGGGTCCTTCAACATCATTCAGCCAACCCAGCTGGGGTTGATCAAGCCCCTGGCTTGTGTCCAGGTAGCTCTACCCCACTTGCGGTTCTCCTCTCCTGATCCACAGCCACTTTGAAGCAACTTCTGCTGCCTCTGTGGCTGACTAATAACCCTTCGCCTACGGGCCCTGTGATGCACAGCATGTTGTAGGCCCTGCAGAGGGACTTGCCTGTGAAACCTCTGCATCCCACCTCAACGGGCTCGCATCTTGCATGCCACTTGTTACCTTGGTGTTCTTCCACCAGCCCAGCGTACTTTGCCCTCTTACTCTCGTTGGCCTCCTCAGTGCATTCCACTCAGGGAACAGTGAGGTCTAAGACAATGATCTGCTTGGAGACTTTTGAGATCAGCACCATGTCTGATTTTAGAGTTGTTGTAGCAGCAGCTTTTAGGAACTTAGTTGCTTCTCCAGGTTGACTTTCAGCTCCCAGTCTTGTGCCAGGCCAGAGGAGGTGGTCCTGGCAGCTGATGTTGGCTGGGTTGACTGGGAGGAGTGCATTCCAGTAGCCAGCAGTGGCTTCATGTACTGGCTCAGACAAGTGGCACAGAGGGAACACAGACGTCTGCTTTGAGCCTCTGATGATGAAATTTACATCACATGGACCCTAGGAGACCCTCGGGTACTGGCAGATGTGAAAAGTACAATACCAGTTTAAGTAATGCATGACCCACCCACCTGTCACTAAAGAGGCTACGCCCTCAATTATCCATAAATTTAAGTCTAAATAAAATGTAAACAGGTGAGTTAACAGGTGTCATGAAGGAGGAAATTAGCTCTAGAGACCAAAGCTGTTTTTGTACCAGGCTGTGAACATGTTTATTTCTGCTGTAAAGTTGGACATTTAAACATGGGAGTCTATGGGGACTAACTCACTGTTGGAGCCAGACTCTGGTGGTCATTAGAGGAACTGCAGGTTTTGCAACCACAGTGTTGGCTTCATTTTCAGCCTCGGAGGTTGTTGCTTGACCGGGAATCATCCCGTGACTTCTGATTAGCCACTCTGTGCCTGATTTCACCTGTCTTGTCTTTTTTTGTCATTGTGTCATTATTTGATGACAAAACAGATACTGTCAGCGTCATTGGAATCATTTTAAAATGGGGATCAGGAAATTGAAAGGGATCTCTCCCTCTGTCTCTCACTGATGTGGCATCTAGTAAATAAAAATAAACAAACGTTTATGTAAATGGCTTAATAACTCTTTACATACATCAGTCAATGTTTTCAGTTGACCCACCAACTTGATGTCCAGTAGAATCTTGGCTTATTACATCATTCCCTCCACATGTTTCTCCATTGGCTGCCAGCTGCCCCTGCCAACACCATGACTGTACACTTCAGAGCCGCTCTCTGCTGCAGCATCACGTCTCATCCTCTGCCCGTGGATGACGACTGCTGAGGTGAAGTGAGTGACATTTTCATTCCATCTGCTTTAACACAAGCAAAAATACATTTTCTACTGTGAGAATTTGGCTGCTTTGGTCGAGTGTGTTTTTCACTTACAACACTTATTTATTTGGCTTAGTAATTTAGATAACTTTACAGCTAACTTTACCATGGAAAATTCAAACTGTGGTATCTGCGTGTCTAAGGCAGTTAACCTAAGTCAGAAAGAAGGCTGACAGATGTATGTGGGAGGACAGTTATCATATTCTTCAGTTTATGAAATAGTATTTTTTCTGGAGATTATGTCTGAGAAAGCGGGGGTCTAGACATCTCCTGTTCAAGGGCTAGACAATAATTTGTTGACAATATTCCTTTTTGGCTGGACTGCTACAGCGCAGCCAGCCCTATAATGGTGAATGTCGCTGACTGGCTGACTGACTGACTGACTGACTGACTGATGATATTTCCACCACTGGTGAGCAGAGTGTTGAACCATAGTCTACTGTGCCGCTATGGTTTCCCAGTTGCTTGAGAACTGCAGGGAAGAGGAGGAATGCTTCCAATACGCTGAGCCTCGCCTCCATTACAGCAAATAAACTACTTTCATTACATGTATCATTATTACAGAGGGAGTTAGACATAAAGACCTGCCTCTGTTACATTCTGCTTCTACTCTCTCTCTCTCTCTCACACGCACCCACACTATGACTGTAGTAAAGCCTAAAAATAACTTTAAAAAAAAGAAAGATAGTCTGTCTCTTCTAACTTTCTCTGTGAGTGATCATGTTACAGTAACTTCAGCTGAAGTCACAGCTCAGTCCTTGTCTTTCATTTATGTGTTTGGTGATTTTGTCAGACGAAGTTGCAGTTATAAAAACAGGATTTGACAGTAGGCGGTCCAGAGAGATACTAGGTTTAGACATAGTCCTTTTTGATTATAGATCAGGTCTAGGTTCTATAGCAATACTGTGAAAGTATCAAAGTGCTCAGTCCACAGAGAAATGCACACAGCCTGTATTCAGAAACTGAGCCTTAAAACCAGCCGTCAGGACTTCTGGAAATTTGTGATGTCACAACAAAGCAGTCACCACCCTCATCCATGCCCCAAGCCCCGCACACCTGGACCCACCATCCAACCTTGTAGGATTTGGTTTCTCTGAGTGTTTACTTGTAATCTGCTATATTTTTATTGGATTACTCAGAAAACAGTGAGCCAATCAGAAGAGGGGCACAGAGCCTCCTCTCTTCTGATTTGCTCACCGACCCTCACCGACAAATATATATTCTTATGGATCAACACTTTGAACTGAAAAGTGTAAAACATGGACCTTTAATGTTGAGTCACATTATAGTGAATATAGTGAGTCCCGAGTTAGTCAGCACTAAAAGTGTTTGGCTATCCCTGAAAGCAGGTGTAACATGTTTTGCCACAATGGTAATAAATTCAGGACAAGTGAAACAAGTGAAAACAGGTTCGTAGCTGCTCCCTACGTCCTTATTGCAGAAATGAATCATGGAGAACATCTGACAAATAGCCATGGATTATAGCTGTTACAGATGACGAGCAGAAAAATCCTCCCTGTCAGAGAAAATGATTCTGACCTTCAACAGCCTGACAGCAGAGAGTGTGAGTCTGTGATAGAACAGCTACACAAGTTACTGTATTTCATGTTTCACTCATACGAAAGAAAAGGCTTTAGTGATGAGAACTCTCACCTCCTGGGAATAATGATATCTCAAGGGAAACCCTAAAAATGTCTTTTTCTCCACAACAACTGTTGGACAGGGCAGGTCGTCTTATAATTAGTGTTGTTGATGGTGATTAGTTGTTCCATCACCTACTAGATATTAGTTATTACGATTGCTATTAAGCTGTCTCAGGATACAGGCCTTAGATGAGTCAGACCACGTGCAATGAGAAGGGGAGGGAGGTAATGAAGACGATGAGAAAAAGTGGGATTAAACAATGTACAATAAAAACTGTAGTGATGATGTAGCACTCACATAGCACACCATAAACCATAAGTTCAGTTCAATGTTCAGTATCATAGTCTATACTTCACAGTTCAGCTGTGTTAACTGATCTTGTGTCATAGTGCAGCACTTTGAATTTGCTATGTTGTTAATGTTCCAGGTTTCTTTCCGCTATTGACTAAAATCAGGAAGATGTGGCTGCAGAGAAGAGCAGGAGGAGCAACGCAGAAGAAGGTAATTATTTATTACTGTCACTCCACACACACACACACACACACACACACACACACACACACACACACACACACACACACACACACACATACACACACAAACACACCCCATGTCAGTTCCAATAACCCACACTGGATAGACAAATCTTTTTTTTTTGATTGACATTTTATTGAATTTTTGGCAGACACATAAACAAACATAAACTACAGGGGGAAGGGTATGTACATGTGCAAAATAAAAGAGAAGACTGAGACATCATCTAGTGAACAAGAAAATTTTCAAAAAATAAGAACAATAAAGAGGCTGTGTTATAGTTAAGACCTGGTGAGCTCATGTATGGATGTGTGTGTGGGTGTACAGAAGGGAGACTTAAGTTTGTCTTTAATATAGAGAGGAACTTATTCCCATTTCAAATAATACCATTCTATTCTGCCCAGAAGTCAGTGACTACTAGTGTATGGGCTAATTTCCATTAAAAGACAAGAAGTGTCCTACCCAGCATGAGAGTGGTCTGGACCCAATCGATGTAAATGTAGGAGGAATTGTGCCTTTCAGGATGGACGGGTCCTCTAGCAGACAACCACAACACTGACACTTGATCATAGAGGACATTAATAATAACCAATATTCAATATATATCATAGGTCCAGTCATTTTTATACATTTTAATGTGGAAAAGTTACATATTACAACTTAAATTACCAGTAATTCTCTGGATACAATCCTGACAATGAACTGACCCCCAGAAGTCCCGTACTTTCAGGCAAACCCACAGGACATGAATAAACCTTCGTCACGGCGCTTCCAGCACCAGGAGTCACCCTTAACCTTAGCTCTGTTCAATCTAGGCCTCCAATACATTCGTTCAATAATCTTGAACTGAATTAACCTCATGCACTTAAAATTACATAGGATGCCAACCCATTATTTTCTGTAAATATAATTCAAAGATATGTTCCATGTTCCATGTTCCATGTTTTGTTGTGTTTTCAGAAAACATAGAGTAGTAAAGTGATAGTTCATAATGATAATAACAATAATACATTTTATTTGGCAGCGCCTTTCACAGCACTCAAGGACACTTTACAGAAGATTAAAAACACAGTTCATGACCCCTACCGTAATGAACGAGGGGAACAGCAGGGTTTTTAAAAATTGATTTCAGCAAACTATGAATTTGCACTTACTGCCAGTATTATTGTTTGTGCAACTTAAACTAGTCCTGCAAGTTGCCCAGGAATTTGAAGTCCTGCTCTGTGTAGAGGTACACAAGTGTTGTAATACCTTTCCGCACCCATTCTTTCCCATAGAGAGAAGATTTGCCAATACGTAGTTGTACCGTATACCAGAGGTTGTGTTGAGGAAGGGGTAGAAATTGAGGATCTTTGCAGTCATCTTCCAGATACCCTCAAGGCAGGACAGAACAGGATGAGCCTGAAGACTTGGAAGCAGAGAGGCAGAAAGATAGGCACATGCTTCTACACTGAACCATGGGGGTGACCGCTCTGGAGGGTGAAGTTAAAGTCAGAAAGGTACATGTGTAGGTTTGGTATCCCTACGCCTCCCTGCTCCACCCTGCTTTGTAGTTTTTAACGTGCGTCCCAGCACCCATCTACCTCTCCAAAGAAAGAGGCTGCACAAGCGATCAACCCTGTGGTAACACTTTGGTGGGACTGTCACCAGCGGCGGTTGCAAATTTGAGTTGAACTTGGGGCTGACATTAATATGTAATACATTAGCCTTTGCCCACAGAGAGAGGTTGAAGGGGTGCTCATGTCTAGTTTGAATTTCTCAAGTAAATGTAAATGGTTGGGTGTGAATAAGACCCCAAGATGCCCAATACGCTGGTCCGACTATCTGAAGTTCCCTGCTTGGAATAAAGTTTTGGGACAGTAGCCTATGGTGTTAGGGGACGAGCCTTATTTTTAGACCAATTTATTTTATATCCCAAGAGTCAAGAGAAGCAGTTAATAGCAACGCATGGATGGAAGAATCCACACTGCACACACACACATACATGTTCACACTGGCTGCCCGCTCAATTTCTCTACATAGAGTTTGCAGGCTACTTGAATGTTGGATTTCTTTTGATTATAAATTAATTTCTGATTTTTTTCCACATGCAGCTGCTAAAATGGTTAAAAATATATTTATATTTGTTCATGTCTGTATTTTATTCAGATTCAGTCCAGGCATAGTTTTATTTGATATTGCTGCTATGATGTGAATAAGACATCAACAGGTATTCATCATGCAACACTCTAACCGTGAACATGGGTGCATGAAAACCAAGATGTTCTGGCCAGTTTGTTCCTGGCCTTACTATCAAATATTCTGTCATATCAATTTATTTTTATGTTAGGTAATGATTTCGTTATTTCATTCTCTCATGGCTCGGATTCTATAGTTTAATTCCCACTTGATTTTTACAGTAAATGATCTCACGTGCTTCCCTTTTTTATTATTATTATTTTTTGTTTGCCTCTGTTTAGTTTTTGTTCAAGGAAGATGAATAAGGAGGAATCAGATAGTTATATAATTAATTAATTAATTAATTGTTCTGTTTAAAAAGAGGTGACTACCTTATTTCTTACTGACAGACTTCACCTCATTTTTTGTATTAAAATCAAGTCCACATACATTTGACAGTTACATGTTTTCCACACTTTCATCACTAGAGGGCACTATTGTAGAAGTTTATATGTTTAAAAATAGGTTACTCTTTATTCCTGACTGGGATTTGTAGTTTTTTGGAGGGATGAGGATTTGTACAGTGTATTTTTGTAATAAAAAATTGGCACAAATTTGACAATTAAGTTATTCTGACAGGGTCATATTCCCATTAGCACTCATTTAGAAGCCACAATGTGCTGTACATAGCGTTGGTGCTCTATGTCCTAAAAAACAGGCTGAGCAGACAGTCTCCTCTGTGTGAAGACAAGGTGAAACACAAACTGTACCAAGTTGTGTGGACTCTAGAGCAAGACTCACACTCCGGACAGGTGAAGTTAAGAAGGCTTTGGACGAAAAAACAAGTCAGAGATCGTTGCAGGCAGGTAAACAAAACCCAGGAAATATTTCAGAGTTCTGAAAAGAAAAACATGTGACATGAACAACAGATGGAGATCACTGACTTCATTGCTGTTGTAACAGAGAGGATGTTCAGGTCATGTTTCATCGGTGTGAAGAAATGAAACCATCAGTATGTTTCATAGAGAAATTGTATCCTGTATCTTCTTGCTGTGTCGGCACCTGTTGGTTAAAGATGGGACTGTACAGAACTAGGATCAACATCCTGACTCACCTTTACATTTTTTCAAGAAACAGCCGCACATTCATTTATTGATCTGACTTTACCTGTTTACACACATTTATTATCATGTTTCTTACTCACTTGTATTAATCATACTATTATATACTATTATTATACTTAATTCACCTTTTGCTTTATCATATAATTCACACAGTGTTTGGGAGCAGTGAACTACATAATAAACTAGCAGTTTAACTACATTTATATGTGCACAGTGATTAAAGTAGTCCAGTTACTTTCTTGTCATTTTGTGTTGTTAACAACTGAAACTACAAATGATTTTGGGCCACAAGAGGAAATGTATTTTTACCTTTGCTTCTCTCTCTTTCATCCTGACCATTGTGAAGTCATACCCAGGTAATGCATTCATCAAGCAGACAGCACCACACACCTGACCTTTGTGTAGTTCATGTGCAAAAGCCAAAGGCGGGTGTTTCTCAGTGCTCACACAGCGACATCGTCATGGATAAACCTCCGCAATCATGAATCACCACAGCCATAATTAAGCTGTTATTGTTTACAAAACCAAAGTTTATGTTCCAGCTGAATAGTGGGGTATTTTAGTCTTTTACCAAACAGCTCACATGCGACTTTTATATTTTGTTATAATTTCATAAGACATGTACAGTGTCAGTCTGATAATTCTTTTTACAAAGAAGTTTGACTTTGACTTTGAACTTTTTCCAATTAGCTTTAGTGACTAAACTGGATTTCTCCCGCAGGCGTAGCCAGGCCCAGTCCTACACTGCTTCAAATTAAGAGATGTTGATTGGTCACTAACTGCCAGACTTCAAGACTCATTACTGGGGTTCTCTATGAGTGTTCTTTAAGACTGTAAACTGTAACACGCACTGTTTAATGTTCTCTAAAACTGAAGCCATAGAATCTAATAATACATAAGCCCATAATGTATTTAATCTTAAACCTCTGCGTCTAGAAGTTGATCACAAATAATAATAATAATCAACAATAAAAACAATAAATAATCACAAAAACCACAATTTGCAAGTAGCCAAATAAATCAGATCCAGACATTAAATCTCATGGATTAACTAAAACTAAAACCAGCTGTTCTCATCAGAGTCAAGTCACTGAGTGTGAGTGAAGTAGGCTGGTAACCAGAGTGTAAGTAACTGAGTGATGAAGTGAAGTGTATCCAGTTTTTATATGACCAGACCAGCCAATCAGATATAAATAAACTGTGATTATTTGAATGTGGCATGTTTATGATTGGTCAAATGGAGAAGGACTAAATAAAATACTTTTCAGTTATTTTTTAAATGTTGGGATGAAGCACTCAGAGCACTTGGTGGGGCATTGCCCCCCCCCCGTGCCCGTGCCTAGAGCTGGGCCCAGTTGTAGCTTTGCTGTAGTTCAGCTTCTTCCAGTGTAAAGTAACTGGTAGCGTTCAGCTTCCTCCACACTGTTCACACTGAATATGAAAGAACCTCAGTGTGTCAATATTTAAGAGGTAAATACCAAATGAAAGGGAGCGGGTGGGGTCATTAATGATGCCATTAATTATAATGTATTTAGCAGTTCGCAGTTTTACCATTCAGTGCAACATATGGTAATGAATTAGCTTTTTATATCAGCAATGCTTTTAATATTTACTGTTTATATTGATCCTTTTGCTCTTGATCTTGATGACATACATCAGTGGAGTAAATATGAACTTGTTTTTGTCTCTTTTCATGATTATTATTATCATTATTATTATTACAAAAAATACATTATGTGGCTTATAATTATTCAAACCAGTGGTACTGTATTTATAGGGTTAGTCACTGACATCCATCACACATTTGATTTAAGAATAACACTTTCCGCTGTTCTTTAGAGACAGAATTGGTTTCTGCAACAACAATAATTAAAATATTTGCTGTGTAAAACTGCACCCAGACACAGTCAGGAAATGTCTGTAATGCAACAGCAACACAACATGTTGCTGATAATAGAAAAGAGGAACCTGACAGAAGCAAAAAGAGAGAACACTCAGTGTACTGCAGTTTGAACCTGAATACCTCCATACACATGTATTCCCTGTACAGAGCTGTTCTGCCCTTTGTTTATTCAAATTAACATCAAATCAATTTATATTTAATGTTAATTTGATGTTAATGTACTGCAGGCTATGTATAACTGTGCACATAGTTATGTTATGTTATGTTGGAAAAGATAAATAAAGATATCACAAACATAAATTTCTAATCAGACTCCATGTTGCAGTCATTTTTGATATTTTAAGTATGAAGATTAACTGATCAAAATCTGCTTTGTTTGTTGGTTGATTGCCTTTATTTGTCTTTGGCCTCTTCCAAAGAAAGTACAGTAAAAATACATAGGCTAAATGAGCATGGCATAGCAAATTTCACTCATTACTAATAAGGACAATAAAGCAATTATAAGCAAACTTACTAACAAATCAAAATGGTTATGAACAATGTTTTGACAGGCGCTTTCATAAAGAAAGGTTGAAATTTAAAAAGAAACTTTGATTTTTGTGGAAAAAAGTCAATTTAGGTGCTGGTCCATTTTAGCTTAATGATCCAGCTAAAATGGGCCACATACACACTTACACAAAAGTTACACATATACTGAGGGTGTAAAACAGGTTCATATGTCTGGATGTGTATCATGCAAAATCGCAACAATCTTTTTTAAAATGTATCGTCTGTTTTTGAAGAGAACGCAGGACAAGACCTGAGATGGTGAGCTGTTAAGACCGAGCGACAGGAAATGTTCATGCTTCTTCTTCTTGAACAAAATGTTTGACAAATGTCTGACACAAGCATGCACCTACACACACACAGCTACACACAGTCCCACAAAGACACGCACACACGCAGGCAAAACAGACCCAAAGACACTAATGTGCAGAAACACACACTCATACAACATGATCTGTTCATTTTTCAATGAAATATCTGTTCAGCTTTTTATTGCATGAAATGTATTTGCAGTGTTGTTCTAGAAAAGACAAGTTTGTGTCAATTCACTGTCAAAGTAAAATGATTCCAGCTGAAATTGCTGTTGGCCCATTTTACCGGAACATTGTAGCTGAAGAGGTACAGAGCTGATACTGTGACTCATATAATGCCAAAACAATTATACTTTTTCACATTTTTAAAAAGATAAATATTTAAGAGGGCCATGCCAAGTTATAAAAATATCATTAGATCTCATGCATAGCCTTTTTTGACCGTCTTATAAATCATTTACCAAACAGTGTCCCATTTTTAGCTGACTCCTTCCAACTATTAGATTTCTCTGATGCACTTCTTGCACTATGAACACTATGCGACACTATGCCTCGCCTACCATAGCCATCTCAGGCCAATGAAAACAATTTTTGATCAGTTACTTTGATTGGTTGTAAAATGTTTAACCTTACCTGATGGCCCATTTTAGCTGACTCAACCCTACAAGCCACACAACACAACACACCGTTAAAATATGTACAACATACAATAGTGCAAATGAGCAGGTAGCAGCAGATAAACACCAGACAGCAAATCTCATAAAATAACAAGACACGTAAACAAGTCTCCTGTTTTTTTATGATTGATTGACTTTATTGTGACCTCAGTGAAAATTTGTTATTATTTCAACCAAACTGAAGCATGTTGAGCTGACTGGGTGTCTGTAACTGTGAGCACTGATTAAAGTGGAAACCCTCCCAGCAGTGGTGTTGGTTTAGAACAGTAACATCGGTATCATCTCCCTGATTGTGATGGTTCTGTTGTTCCACAAGGTGGAGCCATGTGGACTAAAGTTATGTGCGCATGTTTTCTTCCAGTAGGGCCGTTTTTGTCAGTGAAATCCTGATAAATTGATGGGAACTTTTAGAAAATAATAATTATATCTTAGCAAAAATAAAACCCGTCCCTCCGATTTCTGCTCAATGTGAAACCAGTCAAGATGAATTTTCTGAGAGCTCTGCAGGTGAAGAGACTCCAGGGGTCACCAGAGTCATCGGTGGCTCAAGTCCTTTATTTTCACATGTGAAGAAACTGTAAAATTCTTTAGAAGCAGGAAGGGGTTAAAAGACATTTCAAAATGAAAACAGAAGCCTTTAAAAACATATTAGCTGTAGGCTAGTTAACAGTTCCAAAAATAAAGGTGACACCTAATCTGTTTTTTAGATTGAGACCTGTAGCTTTTTGAGGCCACATTCAGCCAAGGTCAGAGCAACTGAGGAAGTGAAGACACTCCACTTCCTTCAGTGGGAACAGATGTGAGAAGTTTTTACATAGCTATAGTACAAAGACCACAGAATGTAAAGTGCACATTTTATGGTGAGATTTTCCACTCCTCGGTGCATCAACTCCAAACAAACCTGAACCTCGTCACCTTGTAGACCAAGTCAGACCTGCCGGTAGCCTGTTTTAGTCTGAAATGTCACCGTGTTGCACAATCTCTTTCATGCCACATTGTTTTTCTGCTTGTCACTCTGACTCTGATCGCAGGTCGTTGATCCACAAAATCAGAGATGACTCAAATTGTTTGTTTAAAGGAAATATAATTTTAGAGATTAATGATGCAGAATGATATAATTTCATTTTATTTTTTATAACTTTATAGTCATGAGAAAACTCAGTGTTACCTTTATGTATTGATTTAGCAATAGATGCAATAGAAGTGGTTTTAAATCGCTTTAGAGAATTTTGTTTATATCATCATGAGTTTATTCATAGTCAACAAGTGTGTGATATAGAGGAGTTTGAGACTGGACTGGAGTTTGTATAGAGATATACATATTATATCTAGGCCGTTGATTTTATAACTTAATAACTCATAAAGTTATCTAAAAGAAAAGTCACAGAAGACAAGAATCACTTTTACATATCAGTTGACTTGTTAGTATTTCAAATGTAAGAGGAGATCTGTGGCTTTATAAACTTTTGTTTTCAGGAATAGTTCATTAAATATGTCAATATATGCATTTAAAAAACAGCACAGTTAAATGTGCATTGCTATAAGAAAGGTAAATTTAGCATGAAAGGTTTTCAAGATACAAAATAAAAGGCTCATAAGTTATAAAAAGTGGTTACAAGAAGTCACAGTAATGATGGAGATGCATGTGTGAAGGAGTAAGAACAGGTCACACAAACACAAACACTTATAGACTGTGGACACACATTTGTGTTTCCATATTTGTGAGTTACAGAACTGCTGTAGATCTTAACCGTTACAGCCACAACCTGAATCCTGAATCCAGACTTTAATCTTCAAACAGCCCAGTGAGGAAGTGTAAAGGTCTAAAACTGTCTGACACTTACACATGCACACACACACACACACACACACACACACACACACACATACACACACATACACACACACAGACTACTTACTGGAAAAAACATTTTACATTTACATTAATTTTTCAATTTAAATGAACTGAAACTATATTTTTGGACACACTGTCACACAGTCAGCTGACGGCTGTAGCTTCAGCGCTGCTGTGTGTGTTTCACTGACACTATGCTGTGAGTGTAAACACACCAAAGCCAGCTGGTATTTCCGGAGTGGTAAACATGTTCTGGTAATGACACATGACTGACTGACTGACTGTCCCTGCTGCCTCACACTGCTCAGCACGAACACCGCCAACACACACACACACACACACACACACACACACACACGCACGCATGCGCACACACACACACACGTGCGCACGCTCACGCACACACACACACACACACACACACACACACAGACAGACAGATAAACAGAGGTGCCTTTAAGTGAAAGTGTGGACGACACACAGGCTGTGATGACTGATGACAATATGTTCCATATTAATGAATGTATCCATCACTTAAAGACTAATCAAGGTTAATCAGGGTAATTGTGCAGCCTGGTCAGTCAACAATGGTTGGCTGAAAATGAAAAGAGCCTGAAGCAGCCAAAAACAGTCATTTCTCGTTCTCTGCTCAAACACACAGATCTGAGTCTCATGGTGTCAGTTATTACAAATATGCATTTACTTGATTTTAACTAGTATTTCTATTCTATGTTACACTTCTACTCCACAGGTAAATATTGTACTGTTTACTCCACTACATGGCGACAGCTGTCGTTAATTATTAAGTTTCAGATTCACATTTTCTATTCAGAACATATGAAAAGCTTGTAAATGATTTATACAGATTAAACTTAAATGAGCTCCTCCCTGACAAGCTGAAACAGGAAATGCTACTTACTAATGCATCAGTAATAACAATAATAGTAATAATAATCAGTAATATAAATCAAATAATGTATATAATATAACACTCTGTATCATATTCTGTATGACAACGCATTTTGCTAGTAGTAGATTTGCTTAATGTTTAAAGACATGACTTTTACTTATAATGGAGGATTAACGTAACATAACATGACATAACATGAGATAACATTTCACAGATAAAGTAATAATCTTAGTACAGAACTGAAGACACCACACTCACAGTGTATTTATAATTACACTGGTGGCAGAGTATTAATCACCATTTGAGTGCAAACTGCAACACAAAGTGTTTCACATGAAACAACAAAATTAGCAACGTAAGTAACACCAACTGCCAACAAAGCTGAGTAAAAAAATAACTGACCTGCCGTTTGTCATATTTAAAAATATTCATATAATATTAGTAATGGTCACCTATGCTCAGTGTCATTTTAAGTACTTATTTATTTATATTAATAGACGTAAAAGATCTTGATAGACTTGAAAAACACATGGAACAACAAAAATGCAATTCAGTTAAATAATCACACGTATTTTTTATGTCACATGCTAGAAAAAATCCAATTATTATTTTCAGTAGCTTTCAACTGTATCTCACAGTCTTCCTTTCTGCTCAGGATAATTTTTAAAAATGTTTGAAAATACATTTTAAAAAATACATTTTAAACATGTATTTTTTAAACTTTAAAAAAGGTTACATTTAAAGTAATTAGTGCTGTCATTTGTATGGCTGCAGTTGTCACATCATTTAGTATGCACAACAGACGCGTTGGTCAATGTTGAGATAAAAAAAAGGGAAGTAAAAGCATTAAATTCTCAAGGAAGTGGTTGAAATGAGGAAGCGTCAGTGCTCCACCAGCTCCTGTGTGTCAGTAAACGGACTGACGGTTAATGTGTTCCAGCTGGAAAACACAGCCAGGATCTAACTGTGAGTGACCCACTGTTTTCTTCTGGTTAGACGGCAGGGGTTTTCTTTTTGTTTGTGAGGAGGTGAATTGATGATGAGCTGTTCACATGTTGTTCAGGCTGCTGGCAGCTGAGAGGACTAAACTAGAGGAGGATCAAACTCTGGCTCTGCTTCACCACATTATCTAGAGTAAGTGCAGTTTTAGTGTTTTCTTTAAGACAGACGTTTCAGACTTTACTACCACAGCTCCTTGCTAATTTATTTTTGACCAAACAAAATAAAAATCAGGTTCAGATCATTCCTCTTCTTGCCAGTGCACTTCACCTTGTTTCAGGAAATAAATTAACTAGAAATGAATGAATCAGCATAAACTGCATAGAACCATTTTGTGTTTTCTAGACAAAGTGATTCTGGACAAATGAAATAGATATTTTAGGAAACAGGAACAGATGTTTCGTTCAGACTCAGACGACCAGGAGGCTTTTTATCTGAATAAGTACAAATACAGTTTGTCCAAGTGTGTATCAGGGGAGGAAAGTGATGAAGTACTAACTAATTAAGTAATTAATGAAAGTATTGAACTTAAGTCCAACTTTAGGACCTTTAGTGTATGCATTAATATAGCTTCATTACATTTCAGAGGGTGATATTGGACTTTTTCTCCACTGCAGTGTCTTGTTAGCAGTCATTTCTCATGTGTGTGTAGTGCAGCTTTGTTTTTGCTTCTTTCCAACCACATTAATCATCTCAACCCTCCCCAGATTTCTGTTAAGTGCTTTAAGAGGTTGGGAACGACTGAATTAAACGACTTGATTACATGACTATAGCTAAAACTAGCTCCACCTCGAGCAGCTGCAGTGACAGTGACAGTATTTTAGTGTGACATATCACAACATGGTCACAGGGCCCAGTTTTCTGCAGAACTATTTTTACTTTGATAAAGAAAATGTTTCTTTTATATTTTGAATGTACAACTCTTAGTTGTAGTGGAGTGTTTTTACAGTGTTGTATTGGTTCTTTTACTGAAGTAAAAGGTCTGAATTCTTCCACCACTGGCCTTTAGTGCACATGTAGGTATAGAGTTCGTAGCATTTGTACAGGCCTGGATTCTGTTGTTTTGTGGGTTTTAGCTGCTGGAGCTCCTGCAGGGAACAAAGTAGAAGCTCAGTAGAAATTCTGTTAAAGAAAGGCAAAATTTGGATTCAGATGTTGACATAACAGTCTTAACACAGGGACCATTTAGTCATTGTTGTAGAGCTTTCAATCATATGATATCATCCTCATCTTCAGATAAAACTGTAGAAATCTAATTTTCATTTTTCTACACTTTGCGCTTTGTTGACAGTTTTTGTCCAGTTTTCAAACATCAAAGAGATCTTTCCTGTGTGTGCTTTCAGATCTGATAATAATGTTTAACACTAATATGAATGGTCTGTATAATGTACATTGCTGCTCAGCACCATACCATTTTAAAGGTAACCATAAGTAGAAATGTATTTGTGATTTCAACCATAAAAATATATCTGAATGATACACTGTAAAACAAATTCAAAACATCAGAAATGTGAGGTGTGTAACAAAATATGTGACTGTGTGAAATTAAAAAATAATAAGTAAAAAGATAAAATTGTGCGAGCAATTCAAATTTCCTCTGTGTTGTTTCTAACAATAATAAAACACAGCTCATGTCTGGAGGTCGATCATTGTGAAAACTTGTTGCTCAAAAAAATCAAAAAGTTTAGTTATTGTAGTTGTAATTTGAGCTTGTAAAATCAAATAATGTAAAGTAACTGTAACACTAAAAATTGAGTCTATTCTACATGAAAAAGCAAAGAAATCAGTTCAACTAACTTCATTACATTCAACATATGAATTACATTAGACTTGATTAAACTGAATAAATTTAAGGGAATTGCTTTGAAAATTGAGTTTAATTAACTGTAGTTGTGATTGTTAACATTTTCTTGTGTTTTGCATCAAATTAACATTGAATAGTTAGTTAGAATTAACACAATTCACATTTTAACAAATAAAATTACATTGAAAAAACAAATATTAACATGTTAACATCCAATAATTTATGTTTAATAACCAAATTTATTAAGTAATCCTTAGAATTGCTAACTCCCTGTAATTTGAACAATTGAAGCATTATAAACCAAATGAGAGCTAAACAATTTCATCACAACATTAGAAGAAAAACCTGACGGCCTCCACAAACATTGGTCAAGCTTTGACCCTGTAGTGTGTTAAATATCAGTTTCCAAAATACCTCACCTTTACAAAATTTAGTAATAGAATACCTTCACAGCTCCCACATAACGCTCATTGTGGAACAGACTTAACTGAGCTTTATATGCAGACACTAAATAGCACTGTCACATGGACTGAATGTCCAAAAAGAGTTGCCAGTAATCAGTTTCCAAAATGGCAAACCTCTGAAAAGACACTTATGTCCGCATGTCCGCATTTGAAGCTAGCTGCAGCCTAATTGTCACGTTGTTTGATGAAAGGACAAATATAAATTCAGAAGTTATCTGGTGGCTAAATTCAGATGATGCTTCACTCCTTTAAGAGTAAAACATATTGTCTTATTTTCAACAATGATCAGCTGCAGCCTGAAGAGGACACATTCCAACAGAATGCAACTTGTTTGTACACAAAAACTACAAAACACACAAACTAGACTTTGTGACATCAGAATTTGTTGGTTGCATGGACGGCAGTTGTACAAAGTAAAAGAGGCAACGTCCAATATGATGAAAAAGAGTTCTCTATGTCAGAGAGGATCTGACACAACTCTCCAGTGTGACGCCATCAAGCCATGACTCTATGTTTAACAGCATCTGCAAACACAGATTATACATATTTCTATGTTGTTGAAAAACTGATAGAAAATATCTGAAATAAATCACAAAATAACATATAAAAGTACTTATGCATGCTTCCCAATGATCCTTTAAATTCAGTTTGGAAAATAACCTTTGTTTTAGCTTATCACACACACGCACACACACGCACACACATGCGCGCACACACACACACACACACACACACACACACACACACTTCCTGCAGTTACCAAGAAGTATGTGTTTTGAGTGGAAACCTGGGAGCTAATTGTGCCTGCAACAGTCCAACAAGGAGCTCAGAGCCTGGAGCTATTTTATACCGAAGTAGTTTAAAGTGAAGGTCTCGTCTAACAACATTATACTACTGAGGCCCTGAGGGCTCAACGCATTGCAACCTAAAAAACACATGCAAACAGACAAAACACAAACAAATTCAGAAAACGTCTTCATCAGTTTGACACTTGATGAGCTGCAAATACACACAACACAATCAAATAGACAAACGCACTTCAAACACTCACAACAAAACCAAATACAGGAACTGCACTTCCAACAAAACAAGTTCAATTACTGGTTCTGTCAGTGCAGTGCAGGGTATAATAGGAACTTTTGATCTCAGCACTTTCATGGGGTTTTTCGAACTTAACTTATCACAAAGTTTAAAAAGAGGAAATAATGTGTTGTTGAAATCTTGAAACTTTCAATTAGTTGTGACTTGTGTGACTTGTTGTGAATTTATTTGAGCAATGTAAGCAGTATTAATTATTCTAGTGAAAGGCCTTTTACAGTTTTGCTTTGGTCCTGTTCTCATATATTTTGTGATTCTCAGAGGGTCCAGTGACTGTAGCTCTGGGGTTCTTCTTGTCAATGTGTCCTCGAGCTGGACATTCAGTCTTTCTTGATTGTCCCTAAGGGGGAGCTTAAAAAGACAAAAAGAACACAAACCAAAACAGAACAGTCACACAATTTATATCAAACAATCACATTGACATAGGTATTCAGACACTTGGCTCTGACTCTTGAAGTTTAGCTCAGGTTCCTCCATTTCTCTGGATCATCTCAGATGTTTCTCCACCTTGGTTGGAGTCCACCTGTGGTAAACTCAGCTGATTGGACATGATGTGTAAAGACACACACCTGTCTGTATCAGGTCTCACAGCTGACAAACAGATCAGAGCAGAAACCACGAGGAGGAAGGAGCTGCTGCAGAGCTCAGAGACAGGACTGTGTCCAGGCTCAGAAACATTTCTGCTGCATTGAAGGTTCCTGAGAAGAACAGTGGTCTCCATCATTCTGACATGAAGAAGTCTGGAACTACCAGGACTCTTCTAGAGCTGGACCTGGACTGAGACATCAGGGAGAGGAGAGGAGACCAAGAACCTGATGGTCACGCTGAGCTCCAGAGATCCTGTGTGGACATGGAGAAACATCTAGAAGGAGAACCAGTTCTAAGCATCATGTCTGGTATCCTGACGACATGACACTTAGGACCAAGGCCAAACAGTTCAATCTAAGTTTCATCAGAACAGAGAATCATGTTTCTCACAGTCTGATGGAAAGCAGGACATGCTTTGTGGTACATGTATCTGTACTCTCTGATATGGGCACCTTCTTGGTTTGAGTCCTATCTCACTGGGCACTTCAGTGTGTCATAGCGAGGACAAACGTCTTTACCCCATCCCCTCCCCACAAGGTTGCCCCAAGGTTTGGTGCTGGGGCCCCTTCTCTTTGCAGTATACACCACCTCCTTGGGTACAATTATCCACTTGCATGGCTTCTTATATCACTGATATGTAAACGACACCCAACTATACCTGCTGTTCCCGCCATACAACCCCACTGTCTCTCAGCGGATCTCAGCCTGTCTCTCAGATATTCACACGATGAAAGAACACCACCTTTAACAAAACTGATTGAACTCTTTAGATAAAAATGTCAAATGATTAAATAAAAACCTGGTCCAGAGCGCAGGACCTCAGACTGGGCTGAAGGTTTATTTCACAACAGGACAATGACCCTAAGTTCACAGCCAAGACAACATAGGAGTGGCTTAGAGACAACTTAGTGAATATCCTTGAGTGACCCAGCCACAGCCCGGAGTTGAAGCCAGTTGAACATCTCTGGAGAAACTTCCATCTACGGTCCCCATCCAACCTGACAGAAAATCCATGAATCCTAAGCACTGAGTCAAGGGTCTGACTAAATCTGTGGATTCCAATCAAGGTGCAGAAATATCTCAGAGATGATCCAGAGAAATGGAGGGACCTGAGCTAAAGTGTCTGAATACCTATGTCAATAAGAATAGATCTGTTTTTTTCTTTTAAATAAATTTGCAAAAATTTCTAAAATTATGTTTTCACGTTGTCATTATGGGTAACTTAAATGATTTTAGCAACATAACAAAATGTGTTTTATCTTTTTTTAATTTTGCTTTGGGATCATTTGATGTCAATTGTGTGTAAATCTGTTTTGTGTTACACAATGCAGATGTGAAGAAAGTGAAAAGAAGTTATTTTACTAAACAATAAAGACCTTGTTGATTTTTCTTACAAGAAATGAGACAAACACAGTTTGCTGTAAATAGCTGTCCAAGCATATTTGTAAGTGTCAAGTAATATGACAGTTGATGTTGACAGACCCCAGTCCCTCGCCTCCATCCGTGTTGAGTGTGCGTGGGTGTGCACAGGTGAATGAGAGGCTCTGTGAAGTGGCTGCATGAGCCAATGCATTGCATTTGATTTTCCATTTTGAAATACTTGAAGTGACTGAGCTTTTGCAGGCCAGAGTCTTAAGATAATATTAGATTTGAGGATTATATTCTGTTCTATGAGACAGTGAAGCTGTGAAGCTGTGAAGTTGTTGGTGCTGCTGCAGGTGTAGTTGTAGTTTCATTAGTCATTGACAAGTTGGACCTGTGGTATTGTAACTGATGCAGAGCACAGTTGCAGGGATGTGTTTGTGAATGTTTTCAGATCCACAGGCATATGTCTGTGAAGAACTTCAGTCGTCCAGGTCGTGGTGTTTCTAAATGTTAGACAAAGGCAACTGAATCTGCTCAAGGTTCTTCACTTCACTACACTGCAGTTTCTTGTGACTGTATTGTGGTTACCCTGGTAACTGTGACAAGGTATAGAAATGGCTCAAGGCCTTTTGTGTTTCTGGTAATTTTATGCACTTGTCAGTTTTATACAGTGGCCCCTGAAGTTGTAGTTTTTTGTTTGTTGTCTTAATTACGAGAAAGAGAGAGAGAGAGAGAGAGAGAGAGAGAGAGAGAGAGAGAGAGAGGATGATATGGTGCAAAGGGTCAGGGATTGGACTTGAACCCAGGCTGCTGCACTCTACCAGGTTTTTTTTAATTTGCAGCACAGTTGTGTATTTGCATGTCCTGTAGCTGCATTGCATTGAGCTCTCAGGGCCACCGCAGGTTTACCCTGCTAGTATAGTGTAATACTGATCAGATTTTTGTCAGTCTGTAGATTTGTTGGTCCGTCCAGCAGTTAGATCCACAGCAGGATGTCTCACCAGCTACTAGCCATATTGATTTGAAATTTTGTACTGATGTCCACGGTCCCCAGATGATGAATTCTAATGTTTTGGTAAACTTCTTTCCATGTGAGTGAAATGGCTCTATGTCAGTCAGTCTCAACCAGTCCTCCAACCTGAACAACCTAACCTAACACCTGGTCATTAACAGAGCCTATACAAAACACAAACCACACACACACACACACACACACACACACACACACACACACACACACACACACACACACACACAAACACCACCAAGGCTAAACTTAGGAAACTGAAGGAATGTCTGACAATTCATGACGTCCTGTTGTTTCTGGGAAAACGGAACAGTTAACATCAGAAAAATGTTTTTTGTTTGAGTAATTTTTTTTGTGTAAATTAATCTTGATTTTTATTTATTTTTGTTTTCAGGTTGATTGCATCCTGGTGGCTGTACTTGTTTGGGGACTGTCCTTCTAGGAGCCACCATCTGGAAAATGGCTGACCAGGTGAATACACTGCCATTCTTCTATGGCAACATCACCAGGGAGGAGGCGGAGGGTTACCTGAAGCAGGCGGGCACCGGCAATGGCATGTACCTGCTACGGCAAAGTCGCAACTATCTCGGAGGGTTTGCACTCTCTGTGTTACATTCAGGCCGCTGCTACCACTACACCATCGAAAGAGAACCAAGTGAAACATATGCAATAGCTGGTGGTAAGAGCCACAGGAGCCCCGTGGATGTAATTGACTACCACTCCCAGGAGATGGATGGCCTAGTGTGTCTGCTCAAGAAACCCTGCAACCGGCCCAAAAACATGCAGCCAAAGGTGGGGCCGTTTGAGGACCTGAAGGAAAAACTGATCCGGGAGTATGTAAAGCAGACCTGGAACCTGCAGGTTAGTTTCAACTACTGTCTAACAGAAATGATAGAATACTAGTAGCAATACAGTCAGACTACTTGTTTAAAAAAATCAATGTTTTTTATACAATATGGGCTTTACTTTTGTTTGCCTGCCCATCACCCTGTTGGCTGTGATAACACTGTACTCACCAAACAGTGAAGAGGTCAAGAAGCACGAGCACACAGACAGTCAGACAATGTCCTACATGTGTGGAGCTGACAATTCAAAGAATGCAGCTATCGGTTATGCTGAAGTATGTTTTACCATTTAAAGGTCCCATATAGTCTAAATGTAGATGTCCATGTGTTGTTTGATTGTAGAGCAGGTCTAGGTTCTATATTAATACTGTGAAAGTATCAAAGCCTCAGTTCACAGAGAAATGCACACAGCCTGTATTCAGAAACTGAGCCTTAAAACCAGCCGTCAGGACTTCTGGAACTTTGTGATGTCACAACAAAGCAGTCACTGCTGGACTCACTATCCAACCTTGCATGATTTAGTTTCTCTGAGTGTTTACCTGAAATTTGCCATGTTATTACTGGATCACTCAGAAAACAGTCAGCCAATCAGAAGAGAGGCTCAGAGCATCCTCCCTACTTATTGGCTCACCGAACTGTTGTTACTAGAGCTCCAGAGAGAAGCCTGAGAGAGGAGTGAAAAAAGAGGAGCAGTAACTGTAGATGTGGAAATGGAAATTTTATTCTGCCTTTATGCTGCTAAATATTTTTTTCACTTTCTGTACAAAAAAAAACAAAACATAGAGCTGAATTTATAAACTGATCAGTCTTGACCTGTCCTGCTTTATGACACATTCTTTATTGGTTTCTCTTGGCTTTTAAAAGTATGTCTGTGACTCTGTGGTAGTGCACAGTAATTCATATAATGTGGGAAGTGGCGATGACAGGGAGCTGGGGATGGATGATAAGAGGAGGTTCTCCTGAAAAGAAAAAGCTCAGAGCAGCCTTTTAAAAAAAAAAGACACAAATGTGAAACTGATCAATTTTTTTAGGTCTGTGAACTCAAAATTGAAAATTTTGAACGTGACCTACATCATTTTAACCATGTTGAAATACCACAAAATTATAGAAATACAAAATAAACATATGAGAAAATAAAGTGACAATATAAAAATGATGAGAAACGAATAGATTCAAAATATATATGATAAAATTAACAGCAATAATAATAATATCAAAATAAGAGCAGAAAATGTGAGAATGTGATGTGTATGAGTGTAACTCCATGAGCAACAGTAATAATAGCTACATGTCAATATGAACAAAACATACAAAACACTTAAACATGGACAGTAATACATGGGAAAAAAACAGTTATAAAACAGCAGTTGAATGGTCTTTAAAGCACCTTTTGTAACATGTTATAGAGGAACAGTTCTTTGACAAATGGAGAAAGCCATTCCATTATTTGATCGCCCTGAATCTTGTTGAAAAACCACCTTCAAGTGAGAAATTTAGGAGGATGAAGATCAGAAGATTTGAGTTGAATAAGAATGGACCTGTGAGTTTGCTACTGGTTAAAGAGTTTACTCTTAACATATAGAGAGGAAATAATGAGATCATATGTGTGTGTCTGGTCATCCACACCATTTTGGGACCTGTTCAGAGTCACACAATACTGTAGTGAGTGGCTTATAAGTGGGTTCATGTATGTGTTCAGGGGGCGGCTCTGGAGCAGGCCATCATCAGCCAGAGGCCTCAGCTGGAGAAGCTGATTGCCACCACTGCACATGAACGAATGCCCTGGTTCCACGGAACAATCGCTCGAGAAGAGTCTGAGCCCCGGCTACAAAATGGCTCCCGCACCAACGGAAAATTCCTGTAAGTATTTTCAGGTGTCCTTCGGCTGCGTTTACAGTTAATTTACATCATTAACTGGTAATTTACATCATTAACTGTGAGGCCGTAAAATGAATTACAATCAAAATCTGACCAGTTTCAGTATTTCTCCAGAGCTCACAGTATTCAGAGCATCCAGAGTCAAAACTATTTCACTGTAAAAGTAGCTTATGAGGTCATCTTCTCAAGCAGCTTTTCCTCCAAGGCTCCATCAGTCCACCAGCAATTTTCACCAATTCACATTCCAAACTGTAACTGAACCATCTCAACCTGTAAAAACTCCTAAAAACCCTGCAGAATATGTGAAATCCATGCCTGGAGGGAATCATGTGAAAGGCTGAACATCATCTGTACAGCCTTCTTAAAAATCTGTTTTACAAAGCCTACATCAAGTCATGGTTTGATCCCAAATGTTGCTGGATGGTTCAAAGATGTGTGTTGCCATGGGAAAATAAAGCAAAGTAGACCCACCTCATAAACACTAAATAAATTCAGTCTAAATATCAGATCCAACCACAAAAAAATGTTTCACTTTCTACAAATGAAGCTGCCTGGGACTAACACTCTGATCTAATAAGAGCTTACCCTATAAATTGATTTATATTCAGTTTGTCTAAGATGAAATGACAGGGACGCAGCACAACTAAACACTGCATAAACTGGATGAGTACAATACATGTTGTCTTTTAGGATTGCAAAGTATGAGAGGCTCTTGACAGGGCAACATGTCTCTGCTGTGTGACACAATGAAAGCAGATGGACTCAACACTGAACGGTTCAACAGGTCTCATGTTCCTTGTGGTGTTGGTTCCAGTCAAATAACTTAATGCATTAAGTTATTTGATGTGTAACTAATGTGTCTTTTTTGGTGGCATGGTATCTACAAAGAACAAAACATCTTGGCATGGACAACATGAAGTTATGTGTGCTGCAGTTCAGACAACAGAGGACAGAGGGTCATCTGAAATATTATATTTACACCTATGTTTGAGGTCTGGACTGACAGCACTGATAACTGACCGCACACTGATCCTCTGTGTCTGGCAGTAATTGTAATATTTGTACATGACATGAGGCTCCAGATAGTCCCCACCCTTTCAACCAATCAAACTCTAGCCTAAATCAGTCATCCTGCAGATGCAGCCTCGGGGGGGTTTCAGAATTATATAATATGACCAAACATAGTGCAAACGAGTTTAAATATAGTTAAGGACATGTCCCCACGTCCATATGCAAACTTACATCCATGGTTATGTGGGCAAGAACCAAGCAACCTGTAAGCTCAACTTGTAAGAACTTTGTGAGGTTCTTCTTGTGTTTCCTCTGCACTTTACAAGCAGGACATTGAAGTTCACTACAAATGCAACAGTGGGACTTCTTCCTCTTCATGAGTGGGTGGTTGTAGCTGGGTGTTGGTAGGCAGACAGAAGCTGCTCCAGTCACAAACCAGTCAGCTGTTTTTAGTTTATATTAAACATTTTCTGAGCTAATTCTTATTTGTAGCAATGATGTCCTGTCTAGGCCTCATTGTTAATGATATAATGATTAACTATAGTAAGTCACAGACATTCAGACAGCTGTTCTGTCTGTGCTGGTGGATTTCATAATGCTGTGGTGTAAATGTAGATCTGCACTGTAACAGTGTGAGTGCTGAAATAAATGGAAATTTACATCTACAGCTGCACATAGACCGCAGCACAGCTTTACATTTAATTCAAGATATTAAATGTTTGAAATGGGCGTTTGTTACGTTTGAACAAACAGAGTATAGAGTATTTATAGCAGCTGAGCAGTACACACGGACATACAGACACACACACACACACACACACACACACACACACACAATGTGGTTTCCGCTCTGGTAGCTTGCAAAGCTTCCTGAAGTGGCCAAACCAGAGACAGAGACGCAGGGTGCGATGTGACTGTTCTGTCCTCTTTCTTAAGTAGAGTCTGTAGGGAAACGTGATCATAACTTTATATTTATATGTATGAGGTGTTTCAGACACTCTGCACAGATGACTTGAATATCCTGGAGTCACTTTCCTGGTTTAGGATTTAGATTTCAGCAGTGGACAACAACAGCTCACAATAATACTATTACAGTTTGTTACAGTTTGTCATTAGAGTTTTGTTTCTAGAATAGTTTTGCATTCTAGAAATATTTAGATCACAGTTTGGATCAGTCATGAATAATGACCAGAGGCACAGCCTGTGAGGCAAGACAGGCAACTGCTTGGGGCCCCAGGGTGTTAGATCCCAGAAGCTATTTTCAGTAAAGTTGTAGATACTTAAATTTAAATAAACTGACAGTAACTATTTGGCCTTATAATGTGTCTTATCTACATGTGACAATGTTGAAGTTATTTAGTTATTTATTATTTAGATTTAGAAAATTCTACGTGAATATTTGGAGTAAAAACAATGTTTAGATTTTTTACATTTTTCTTTCAGATTATTTGTTATATGAATAATTGGAGGGCCCCCCTGCCAAAACACACAATTTTTGACCAACAACTTGTGTGGTTACAGGTGGGATTAAAAACTATTAAAACATTCTCCAGTGGTAAATACCAAAAAGTCAAATAGAATAAAGTAAAACTGAATAATGAAAAATAAATAAATATTGGTTTGCGTGTACATGAAGGTTAGATATTTCAAGACTAAAACAAAGAGATAAAAGAAGGAACAAACAACATATCTAGAAGAGCAGGCTGAAGCATTTGTGAAACAAATGAGACACGACACTAACATCCCCACACACAAAAAAGTGTTTTCATTTAACTGTTCAGATCAGAAATAGTTAGAAGGTCTAAATGCTGTTTGAGATATTCAACTCATTTTATACTCTTTGTCATTTAAACTATAAAGATTTATTTTTATTTTTTTACAAGATTCTCTGACTCACTCTCCAACACCACCCGTGTCATTTGAGTTTAATTTTAGAGAGAATAGTTTTAAACTGAAATATGAGTTTTTTCACTTGTAGGTACAGACATTGGCGAGGTACTGATGTGTTTCATATGGAACTAGCAACTTAGCTGTAGCTAGGAGCCAACATACTGTATGTAGGTTTGTCTTAGACATATATGGAGGCATCTGGACCTGCTTCAGTTCTTGGACCTTTACAAGTTGTTGGAGGCAGTTAACTGCTGTCCTGTTATATCTGCTGGTAGGATCTTGCCTCAGTGTCTCATACTGTAGGTGGACGTGTCCCTAACAAGACTGGACCAAGCCATTGACTGACCACTATATTACCGCCTGTAACATGGGGAGGCCACCCTTTGCATTTTTGGACACCCCCCAAGATACTGGTGGAAGCAGCCGCAATGAGACCCATCACCAGTGGCATTTTGGTAACCTACAACATTACCACCTGGCCACCATCACAGCTGTCTGGTCGGCAACACCACACCACATCAAAAACTGGACTCAGATGAAACGGTGTCACCTCATGCTATACATGCACTCCCACTTACGAAGCAGTACAGTGTACAGTGGCCCTGAGAGCTCAACACACTGCAACACATGCAAAGACAAAACACAAAGAAATTCAGAAAACATCTTTATCAGTTTGAAATAAATGCGCTGCAAATTCTATCCTACAACACAACAGAAGTATTTCCAGTGGACACAAGTGTAGGATTACCATGAGGTACCACGAAGGCATAATCTCTCTCTAAAAAGAAAAAGACATGAACCTGCTGAGACACACTTGTTATTCGATGCTTTTAACTTCAAAAGTTACAATTGGTCATTGAACAAAAAGTCCCAGCCAGGTTCATCACTGTTTAGTGTCCCCTGGAAACACTTCCATTGTGTTGTGTGAATTTGCAGCACATGTGTTGTCACATTGATGAAGATGTTTTCTGAATTTGCAGCTCTTTTGTGTATTTGCGTGTTTTCTGAAGTTGCAGTTTGTTGAGCTCTCAGGGCCACCGTAGAAGACCGTAGGAAACAACTGCTACTGGACAACAATCTGTCCAACAGAACCAACCTCGTCCCAGACCACATATATGCCCTGCTTGACCTCTGCCTGACTACCATTTACATTTACACTTACTCATTTGGCGGAAGCTTAATGAGTGTTACAAGTGAGGTTCATCACTTAAGCTTCAGAGCAGGAGAGACCTTGGTGTAAGAACTAAGTACATCTGTTTAATAAGTGAAGGAGATCAGGTGAAGTCCACAGTAAGAGCTAGTTACACATGTGGGGATGTTAGAAGAGGAGGTGCTCTCTGAAGAGAGGAGTCTTCAACAGATGCTTGAAGAGAGAGAGGGAGAGATCAGAATCAGAAAAACTTTATTGATCCCACAGGGAAATGGTTTGTTACAATTGCACACAAACACGCAGTTCAGAAAGAGGAAGTAAGGATGGAATAAAGATGGATGGATATGGATCTGACACACCTGTAAAATAATGGGTAAAGATTATACCTTTTATACAGTATTATTATTCATTCATTATCTATGACTCCAGCCTTATCTTTGTTATTCACTTTGAAGTTTGCATTTTGCACATTTTTTGATTAATGTCAAACAATGAGCAACTGGTGCAAAGTTTGAAAACACCTCATTTTAATCTAAAGTTTTTCTCATCCACCAATCGAACACACCTGTGACCTTCTTTCTACAGTGGAAATGAACATTGTTCAGAAAGTTCGTCCCAACACTGTTGCAGAAGTGCCCACAGATGTGTTGCACTTGCAGGTTGCAGAAGTCCAGTTCATCTCAAACCAGCTGCATGTGGTTTAAATCTGGAGACTGTGCCGGTGTTCACCATGTAGCTCCACCATCTGGTTCTTTGATGAACTAATATTTTGGCTCATTATGTTGCTGCAGGATGATGCCCTGACCAACCAGTCTGTCTCACCCACCTTTTTCTCACCATTCTGACAGCAGTAAACACCACATCCTGCATTACAGCATTGTCGTAACACAGGGGTTTGTAACACAGTTTGTTCCAACACTGCCTTTGTACAGACAGAGGGTTTGTCAGTCATCAACCTGTAGAAATTGTTTGCATTAATTGTCAGAGCTTCATTTGCTTTCACTGCTGCGGAAAAAAACTGTAAATTAACCAATTTTTTCACCCCTGAAAAAAAGCCTGTTTTCCATCACATTTACATGATTTATCAGTTGTTGGTGAACTAAACTTTCTTTTTCCTTGAGCAGTTTACCGCATACGTAAAGGTTATTCAGGCTGTTTCCAAACTTTTGACTGGTAGCAATTAAGATCTAAAGTACATGAGAGAAAATAAAATACAGTTTGATGTAAAGATTTAAATATATATATTTAAAGTTTAAAATCTGCTCATGCAACAGGTTGTACTCAGGTCCTGTCTATGGGTTATACAGAAATGTAACATATGACACATACAGTATGTCCCTATATCAAGAGTGATATTACCATATATGTCACCTTTAAGGGGCTATATTATTATAACATATATACATAAAGTATATATAAATATATAAGTTATAACATATAGGAAATATCCACAGTAAAATGTATATATTAATCTATATGAAAATTTTTTATATGATATAACATGTTGCGACCATATTTGATAACAATTTATATTTTATTTCTAGATGCAAGTTTATTAAAATAATGTGCTTTTTCAATTTTAATATACATTATTATATTGTATTATTATATACAAATAGTTCTAAATTTATTTGTATATGTTCTTATAAATTTTACACATTCTATCTTTTGTATCAACATATTGTGACAGGCTATGCATATATATTTATGTATGTTGTCTACAATGTAAGCATACATACATAGACATACATATTTCTATGTGATAGACATATACATGTATGTCAATATATGAAATTGTTCAAATTTCTAATAAGTTTCATATATTATTTTTACATATATGTACATGTTTGATTTTAATTCATACGTACATATATTTCATATATGTAAATGTAGTTCCATGAAGGTTCCTCCATCACAGAAGTCTAAAACCATAAAACATAAGAACTGAAGTCACAAGGAGGAAGAGATATAAATAATCGTCTTCTTCAAAGAAACATGATGTGCCTCAAATTCTTCAAGTTGAGCCAAGCTTTTGTTGTAACCACGGTGTATTTCCTGTCTGGTTTATTCTGGATCTTTGTTCTGATACAATTGTTTTGATGAAGTAACTGTTTTTTTTACAACATGTTATTCATTACTATTACACTACTGCTACATTTACTCTCACAGACAAATGACACAGGGTTTAATACCATCTATTACTATTATGTATCAACGATATTCTTACGGTGATGTGTGTACTGAGTCCTGCAGGTATGATGTTTTGTTGTAGTCCAACCCTGAAGTTATCATCCCCCTGGTTCCCTCCACAAAAAGCCAATGGGATTTTGATATTGTCTTTTGGATTATTACAGAAAATAAACTCAACTAGGCTATAAACCAAATACACCATGGTCCCATGACTTCAACACCACGGTCACATGACTTGAACATCACTACCACTAAACTTCAGCTTGTAGTTTGATTTAGCTCTGACTTCTTCTACAAAAGCCTTTCCTCTGACAGAGTTAGACAGACCAGACCTGACTAAATCAAATGTACTGACTCTGTCAGAGAAGTTGCCTCCTCCATAGCTCCATAGCTTTGCTCCAACTGATTTGTCTTTACTGACTGATTCTTTGGTGTCAGTAGAAAGATGTGTGATCTGTATCCATCTTTCTCCACAGTAGAAAGTAAATACCTCTCATCTTCTTCTTGTGTGAACAGGATTCGACAGAGAGACTTGAATGGATCCTACGCTCTGTGTTTACTACATGAAGGACAGGTCATGCACTATCGCATCGACAGGGACCGGACCGGCAAGCTCTCAATCCCAGATGGCAAGAAGTTTGACACGCTGTGGCAGGTTAACAAAACGATCCTCATCTGTCTTCTTATTCTCATGTTGTTATTTTAAAGGTTTCCCAGCAGACGTCTGAAATGTTGGTGACTGATAAAATACAATTTATTCTTATTTCTTATTCTGATTTCATATTCTAATATGATGATGTATTTGTTGGTTGTTATAGTTACATTTATATCCATTATGGACACTGTATTGAAATGTGCTGGAGTCCAGAGTAGTTCAGTATTTCTTGACATTGATTATCCATCAACATTCTCCACCTGCCTGGAGTTTCTGAGCAGCTCCTGTCGTCACAGGGCAGAGGTCCAGATGTGATGAGTGAAGACAGATGTTGGTTTAGGTCTGTGGACAGTAACAGTGGTATCAAACCTGGTAACCTCGATAATGACAAGACTTTAGAAAGCTGCACGTGTTTATTCATTCATTTATTATTGGGAACTTTATTCTTCATTTATTCTGAAGCATGTGTACAAAATGAACCCATAGGTCGTCTGTCTATAGAGACCAAAACTGTTTTTGTACCAGGCTGTAAACATGTGTATTTGTGCTGTAAAGTTGGACATTTTTAACATGGGAGTCTATGAGGACTGACTCACTGTTGGAGCCAGATGCTAGTGGTCATTAGAGGAACTGCAGGTTTTTGTTCTTCCATGTTGGCTTCATGTTTCAGCCTCAGAGGTTGATGTTGGGTTGTATCAGAGGGTTGAAAAAAACGATCTGTATGGTTGTTCAGGTTGGAGGACTAGTTGGTTTCTTATCATCTAGGGATTAAAAAACATTTTGACCTCTGAAAACTGAATGATAGTCTTGTACAGTTATTGATGCATGTATTATAACTTCTGCCTTAACCACAGCTGGTTGAGCACTACTCATACAAACCAGACGGCCTGCTGCGAGTGCTCACAGAGCCCTGTCCAAGACCTGATGGAGAAACTGGTAAAAACACACACGTGTCTTCAGCATGACTGATATTCAAACAAAGTCTGCTGCATGTTAATCAGTGTCTAACAATCAAAAGTGATGGAAAACACTCAAATCTAACATATTTGTCATGTGTTGTGCTCACAGGGTTGATAGGGCGGCCGCTGCTCCCACGGGACCACCCTGGGCTAACCTCTGCTCTTGTAAGTTATTGATGTATTTACATATTCTCATGGGCCAGAGCATGTCAGAAAAACAGTGAAACATATGACATGAACGTACTTCCTGCCTCGCCCCGCTTGAGGGGCTTGAGGCGGGGAGGTCTGATAATATGGGTTTTCACCATTTTGGTGAGCCAGCCCGTATGATTTTGTTCCTCCTCCTTACAGGCACATTACAGTAAAATGAACATGTAAATGTTATTTAGGCCGACTGTATGAAGAAGGTGTTTCTCACAGATGAATGAGTCAGTAAGAGATAAACCTGACAGGTTCTTGTTTTAAGATTTGAATCTGTTCCTACTGTAATGATCAAATGTATGACTTTAACATTGCCAGGTCACCTACTGATAACCTCTCTGACATTTTGGTTTCTAGCAAAGTGCAGCAGGTGGAATTCTCTCCAGACTCAAAACTGTTCCCATACCTGGCCGAAAAAAGGTGCACTAACACACCTCCTGCCTCCTCATGAACCTACTGGTCCCAGCAGTGTGTAACCCCCCCCCCGAACCTACTGGTCCCAGCAGTGTGTAACCCCCCCCCAACTACACCTACATCCCACCCCTCCAGCTCTTACCCCCTCTGTGATTTAGCCTTAGTGTAGATTGCTACTTACTAACTCGACTCTCCTTCCTCTCTCCTTCGAGTCGTCCGCCACCCAGCGGTTACTCAATGCACTTACATCCTGAACCACAGCCAGCAGTCTGATGCTGTGTCCCATTCACTGCCTCCTTCTATGTGTGCATGTCAAGACCAAACATGTCAAGACCAAACAAGACCAACCATGTCCCATTCAAAGGCTGCTCCACATGTTATTTTGGCCATATTTGTAAGATTTAAAATAAAATAAGAGACAATATTCTTAGACAATTTGTATGAAGCACACATGTACCCATTTATTTGGTTGAGTTTTTAGCCATGCTAGTGATGTGGGTTTAAGGACGATAATGTCTACTTGTCAGTCTGTTGGTCCACCATCTTGGTCCAGTGGGTATCATAAACTTTGGTTAAGATATCCAGGATGATCCCCCAACTTTTCCTCTAGTGCTATCAACAGGTCAAACTTTTCACATATCCTGTGGAACAGATTTAGATCCACATGATTTAATAATAATTTAGTTTTTAAGGGAGCTATTTGTAAGTTTTGCCACATAGCTAATGTTAGCATTAGCAGCTGTTTACATACCAGAAGAAACATTGTGAGTTAAGCATCAAACGTCATTTCTTTACTCACCAATAGCTGTCTCCAGAGGTGAAGTTAGCTTGCTAACCAGCTAGCTCTGGCCCGTCTTGTCACTTTCAGATAGCGACTCACTGTAGCCTCCAATCTGCCAAATCTGAAGAAGTAGCTGCTTAGAGGATGTATTATAACCTCTTGTCATGTAAACACAATGATGACTGAAGCTCTGATCAAGCCACAATCACCACCACCCGCTTACTCTAAAATCATATAGCTATTGTCGCACAGTCCTGTGGTTTGTCTATTTGACTTTCATATGAAAAATCAACTGCACCAGAGTAAACAACCAGAGAAACACCACCTGCAAATTCAAAATATGAGAAAATTGGTGTGTTCTCTTAACTCACTGGTATGTGCCGCTGAGGAGCAAATCTTTAGGAATGGGTTTTGGATGCAGCCCTCTGTCTCTGTTTTTCTTAATTAATACCAAATTACGTAATCATTTTTAGTTCCTTTGTAGAAAATGAAAATAAATCATAAGGGTAATTTCTGGGAGACTTAAGGCTAACAATTGACTGTGGGATATTTGGCGTCTCAGAATAGTTCCTTTAGGGCACAAGAGAGGACATGTCCTGGAGCAGCCTTTGGTTTTGAACCACCTCGTCAGCCTTTTATGATGTGTTTGATGTGTTTGGTCTTGAAATGTGTAACTGACAGAGGGGTTCTTGAAACAGTTGTCCCCTGTGAGGCTGGTGAATCACCTTCATGTTGGCTGGTCAGGTTGAACGTGGTCTTTGAATGAGGCAACCGCTGAAACAAACTCTGCCTGACCCTCGACTTTGTTCCTTGGTCTTGCTGACTTTGGAGCTTTTTGCATCTCACGCCTGTCTTTGCTTTTTGAATTCAGCATCTTCAACTTAAAATGCAATTGCTTTTAATAATTTTTCTATGAACTCTAGTTATCAATGCTAGAGATTCAAATGGGGGTCTTGAATGTGAATATTTTAAAAGCAGGGGTGTGGGACATAATACAGTATATTTACAAAGTTTACAGATCATTGATATGAAGCTATTATGAAATGGTCCGAAGAACATTTGGACAGTAAATCGGTTACTAAACCTGTTCCACACCCCTTCTTTGAATGCATGTGAATTAACCTCATGCATTTATTCTCCTCCTCTCAACCCTTTTGAATGCCCCATTTAATGGACACCATGTATTAGAGTGATACTGACTGATGGCTGAGAAACCCAATTGTACCATTGTTTTGGATAAACATTTTCACATTTTCTCACATTCTTGGAATTAGTTTAATTTCAGTCTGTCGCTGTAATACAGGCCCCATATAAAGAGTGGCATCTTGCTGCATAAGAGAAACATTTTATTGTTCCCTCAGTGCTGAATTAATTCACTCATTGCAGATGATATTTCAGCAGTGCACCTTGTGAAAAATATGCTTCATATGTTTTCTCTCTGTTTGTTCTCTCAAATGTTGTCTTTGATGACGCATGACAGAGCCAGGGACCTCGACACAACACCACTGATAATCTCAATCCTTATGAAACCAGGGTGCCTAACAATCAGGCTGGTGGAAAAGGTAAGTTGTTTAAGTGCAAATTGATTTTCTTAACATTTACCTTCAAAGTAAAATAAGTTCAAACTTGCGATCTTGGGAGTTTGAATTTAGCAAGTTTAACTTAAGAATGGAAATCAAAACAATTGTCAATCTTGCTCATACCCCCCACATCACTGCTGGTTGATGGCAAATCTAAAGCTAAGTCTTCCTTTAACAATAGAGGACACTAAATAGAAGGAGTATTTGTAAGTTTTACTTTTGCCACTTAGCCAACGTTTACAATACGCCCTCAGAGCACACCTAGCTTGCTGATGCTACAGTGACTCGGTATCAGAAAATGATGATGATGATAACATTGTTTGAGTGTTCATTGCTATTAGTGATTTAGTGTCTTGATAAAACTTTTAAACAGATCTATTGTTCCTTCAAACCAACATAAGGTAGAAAATCTTGGGGTTTGATGTTCTCTGTTCATTAAAATAATTTCCTTTTTGTGTTTCTTTTTAATTGTACATTTGTACAGGTGTACACACCATTTAGCATTTAGTATTTAGCATTCGATACATCGTTTGGTAGGATTTTTTTTTTTTAAATGAATGTTTGTCTGTTGGGTTGGATGGCGGGTACACACCCACCATATGCTATATGCCACATATGCTTTATACAAAGCACAGGACTGTCACACCAGAGACTCGTCATGTTCATCTCCCATTTCCAGCCAATAGTCAACATTTCTTTTAACCATGATTTTATAACTTTAATGACATGTTTAATTCAATCAAAATGATGAAGGTCTGCTAAAGAGTGCAAAGTGTGTGGTTTAACCAAAACCATGTTGCACCAAATATGAATGATGATCATATCGTTCAAAGGGGTGATTTTGGAAACAATAACAAATTATTTGTTAATCATTCAGGTTCAAGAACTTGTTGAAAACAATATCTGTGTCTAAATTTGGTGACATAAACGTGCACATAATGTACAGGATAAACTAATGTGATATGGTCATTTCTTCATCAGAGGCCATGCCAATGGATACAGAGGTATATGAGAGTCCATATGCAGACCCAGATGAACTGAGGAGCTCAACAGTGGATCGCAGCCATCTTTTCCTGGAGGATGGAGAACTTGGCTCAGGGAACTTTGGTACAGTCATGAGGGGAATCTACAAGATGAGAAAGTATGTTAAATCACACCACGTCACATCACCCCACAAACACCACTCCTCCATTTCAATCACCCAGTATATAATGATGCCACAATTTTAGATTATCAGACATCTGCAGATTTTATTTCCACAGGTTTTAATAATGTTCCCCATGTCCAAGTCATATGAATGACACTTTGAGTTTAGGTGTAAAGCTGGAACATACTAGAAACAAATCAAGAATGTATAAAAAAAAAAACACATTTCAGTAATTTAAGACGCTATTGGCACAATAATAATAATAATAATAATAATAATAAATGTGTCCCTTCCTAAACTGATACCCATACACGCATAACCTCTTCTCCTATTGCTACAGTGACAAAGGGACAAACCAAATTCAAGAGTTAAAGCACAAATATTAAGGAAAACACGCTCAAAATCCACACATATTACAAATACTAACACACATAAGCAAGTGAAAGCACAAACATTAAGGGGACACTGGATGTGTTTTTGTATTTGCAGCATGCTTCACTTAATGATTGTGTTGTCTCTCTTGTATGTCCTCTCTGTGGTCTCTCTTGTGGTCCTTAGGGACCGCCGTAGGTTGCAGATACAGAAACAGAAATGCTAAGTACAATAAGGCAGCATGTGCTAAGAAAGCATTGTAACTGGATTTTATTTATGTGCAAGTATACAGTATATAGTATGAATATACCCAAACGCTAACATGTTTTACAACTGCAGTTCCCTAAAGACGTCCTGTCATGGCTCAGAGATCTGACCATCACAAATTAGTGGATGTCAAGATATGTCCCTACCATCATCAACAGGCCTTTTAGCTATTCTACAAAGGTTTATGTCTACAGCACAGTATGCATTCTGCAGTTTTATAACTGCAGATTCACTTTACTTTCAACCATATACAGCTTGAGGGTGGTGAAGGCTCTATAAAGGTTCCATAAAAATAACCTTTAGAGATCCTGCAGGGAGCATTTTCTAAATGTTTTTTGTTTTATAAAACTGTAGTGCAACCAGACCAGGTGAGCTGCAGCTTCCTAATGACCAAACTCCATCCATCAGGTTCCTGCAGGGAGAGTCCTGTTCAGAGAGGGTCATCACACCTGACTAGAAAATGAAAAATACATAAACTTGGGGTGGGGTCTGCTCACAACTATTTCAAAACCAATCAGACAAACGTGAAAGTTTTTCTTTGAATATATGATAAACAAATATTGCATGGATGCACTACGGAATTCTTATATGTATTTTGTAGGTTTTTGAAGTGAGGTCAAAGATGACCATTAAACATGGAGAGGACAACACCATCTTACCACCTCTTTATAATCTAACAACTAAACCAGGAGAAATAGGCACTTACATATCTGTATCCCAGACATCAATTGAACCGATTTTTCTGGATTTCTATCCATGTCACAGTTTTTGCCATCCGACCAGGTCTACCCTTGACCAGAGACACACTTGTCAGACCAATGTTTGCTGGGATATTTCTTACTAAGAGAACATGACAGTAAAAAACTCCACAATATCACTGCTGTACCAGTGACATCTAAATCTTTTGGCAGCCTTTATCTTGCACACTCTGTGTTTACATGTAGTATTGATGTACAGAGTTTGTGTACTTGCCTACTCTTATTCCATCATGTTGTGTCACTCTGTTTGTTGATCCTTGTTTGTGTTGTCTAAAAAATGTGGCTTACTGTGCTTGAGCAATAATGTCTGTAAAGTGCATTTATGGTGAGTATCAATACAAACCAGGCAGCACAGACTTCCTGACACTGTACTCCCTGTTTCACAGAACAGAGAAGTCAGTTGCAGTCAAAATCCTGAAGAATGATGATAACAACCCCTCAGTGCGCGAGGAGATGCTACGGGAAGCCAACGTGATGCAGCAGCTGGACAATCCTTACATTGTCCGGATGATTGGGATCTGTGAGGCAGAGAACCTGATGCTGGTCATGGAGCTGGCAGAGCTGGGACCACTCAACAAGTTCCTGCAGAAACACAAGTATGTGCTCCACATGGATCCTCACTATTCTCTGGAACAAGACATACTGACACACTGCTTATTTTACATTATTATCAGGGACAATGATACGCATTTGTTTGTTTTGAATTTTGGTTTTTAATGGTTCTGTAAATGATCATCACTGCCACTAGATGTCACACTAGACCACTAGCATCTCAGACCAAAACAAATCTTTCTACAGCCACCATTTGGCCACGGTGCATTATGTAGCCATCAAGGAGAAGAAGAGCCAGTTCAAGTCGACTCAAGACTCATTAGCAGCTCGTAGAGTTCTCCTCTCTGTAAAGACAGACCAGTATTGACTCCACAGTAGGACTGGGAAAGAAATTCAGCCTTGGACTTATCTGCTGTGACCGTTCCACATGAATGACACTGAAGGAGCTGGTAAAAACTTAAAAAACTTAATGGACGTTTTGATGATTCAGCATCTGAATGGGATTGAGCCAGTAGTCCCTGGTAGATTATTAAAATCCCATTTACAGCAGCTTTAATGATACTGGCCTGTGACAGTGTGTTGTCATTCCCAATGGCAACAGACATGATTTCCTCAGAGGGTGGTCTGGACCCCTGAACTGAGTATCAGTCAAAGATAAGGACAGTGCTCTTTGTAATAGAGAGCGTTCCCAACAAAGACTAGTTTTATTGAAGTTTTAATCCAGTTTCAGATGGTGGCAGAGAAATCACTTCAATTATAACTAAAAGTTTTATTGATAAACAGAATTTTTTTCATGTTTAAAAACTGATCTTGAACCTTATGTTGAATGAAAATGAGTGAAAATGAATTTAAGATATCTCAAAGGTTTGGTTAAGAAGAGCTTAGCGTCTGTATCACATGAAATTTATACTCAAAATCAAAATTGATCATCTGCAGGCAAACAACCATAAAGAACATCACAGAGCTGGTCCATCAGGTTTCTATGGGAATGAAGTATCTGGAGGAACATAACTTCGTCCACAGGGACCTTGCTGCCAGGAATGTGCTGCTGGTCACGCAGCACTATGCCAAAATCAGTGACTTTGGACTCTCCAAAGCCGTCGCTGAAGAGCAGAACTACTACAAGGTAAATGCTGACAGGTACATACACTGACGGATACATAGATCAAGCATTACACTCATTCAGGCCCATGACACTCACATCTATGGCTTATTTCTACCTCCTTACAGCAGAATGGTTGAGTGTGGCAATATGGTAGTAGTACTATTACTACTTGATGGCTTTTATACAAGGACTTTTTCAGTTGGCTGACCAGAATTAACAGTTTTTCATTCAACATTATAAATCTGTTTTAATAATGTTTTTTGAAAAAATTAGAATTAGAATCAAACTTTGCTGTCACAAAGGCTCAGACTGAACATCTGTGCAGCACCACAACATGCTGCTGTTTGTGACCAGCACAGTTTCAAATAATCAGACCATGGGGCTCATCTATGAACCTGGTGTTTTCCAGGGTTCCCTCATGTTCCCTCATTCCCAAAACACAATGACATTAATTATGGCTGCTGGCATGTCTGTAAAAACAACAATTGTTGATGTAACCCAGTTTAATTATGGCAGTTCCCTCGTCGCTTCATGGGCAGCTAGATATTCCCTAAACTACTGCGCAGTATGAAGTCTCCAGGTTGCCCCTAAGGATATAATTTGGAAAGGTGCAGGTGGCCTTGAAGAGTCAATTAAGGACTTGATAATATATTTACATTAAAGTTGAGTTGAGCTGGTGATATCATCAGGCAGGGAAGCTGTTAAACTGTGGAGGTACGCAGGAGAGAGGTTACTCTCAGGGGATTATTCTGGCTGTGTTTTGAGAGAGAATACGTCATCCCTACAGCACATTGCCATACAGCCATTTAAAGCAAAAAAGAAGAAGCCGATGTTACTTTTTTAGAGCTCATAATTTTGTTTTTTGCATCAAGACTAGACAAACCAATATTGAAAGGTTTGAGATCTGATCTGAGATGTCTACATGTTTAATTTAAGTCTTAAGTCCTCGTTTTCTAAAGATCAAACTAGAGCTCAAGAAGAGACATAAAACCACACAAAACAGCTTTTTTACTTCAGGAATTACTACAATACTGACAAGTCAAAGCAGAGGACCTGCACCTGCTTATCAGCCAGGAAGAAAGAATGATGAACATCAGAATAACTGACAGGGTCCCCTCAGTGCCATGATACAGAGTCTAATCTGAGACTGTAGAATATAACAGGAAGTCAGATCCACTAATATTTTGTGTGTATCTCCTCCTGCAGGCAAAGGGTCATGGGAAGTGGCCAGTGAAGTGGTACGCTCCTGAGTGTATAAACTACTTCAAATTCTCCTCCAAAAGTGACGTGTGGAGCTTCGGGGTGCTCATGTGGGAGGCGTATTCCTATGGCCAGAAACCATACAAGGTATGAACAATTACTCACCAACCTAAGACATGATGATGCTTTTTTCTTTTTACACATAAAGTCATTCACTCACTGGGTTTGTTTGGTTGTTGTCAGACCTGCATGTCGACATGTCAATGTCACCACCTATAGTATAAAAAAGCTGTGTTCACCTCTGTCAGTATAAAAAAGCTGTGTTCAGGGTATTTGCTTACCTATGTTATCGCTATATTGAGAATATGGGCCCAACAAAAGTCAGTTTACCTGTGCTCGCTGCAACTATTGTGATCACACCTGTGATTTTCAGTTAAGGCTAAAATGCCTGAACAAGGTTACAAAGACCCTATGAACTCCACATCTTTCTTAGTTTTTGCCTGGGTTCTGTCCATAGACTGTAAATAAAGATGGAGCCTCTGTGACATCACCAACAAGTTTCTGAAGAGCAGTTTTGAAGCTCAGAGTGAGCTGCTCCACCGTCACCATCTTGGCAGTACCAGGCTGTAAACATGTTTATTTCTGCTGTAAGGACATGGGAGTCTATGGGGATTGATTCACTGTTGGAGCCATACTCCAGTGGTCATTAGAGGAACTGCAGGTTTTGGTTCTTCACTGTTGTTCACATGTTTCAGCACCAGAGGTTGCTGCTTGGTTGTGTCTAATTTTGAGCTGCCTGAACAAGTAAGAGACTAGATTGTGCAACTTCACAATGATGAGAGAAGGTAGAAGAGTATCAGTGGGCTACAAAGAAGGGCTATAGTACTAATAAAAGAAGTCATTTGAACTCAGTTTTGTTGATAACCATATATGAAAAATCAGCTAATACAGTTTTGTATCATCTCAATCATTCTGTGTACCTTTCAGAGGTACTGAGAAATGCCTTCTGGTTTCACATCGAATCTGAATGTGTCTCTGTTCACAGGGAATGAAAGGAAACGATGTGATGCAGATGATTGAGAGTGGAATTCGAATGGACGCCCCAATGAACTGTCCACAAGAGATATATGACCTGATGAGAACCTGCTGGACATACAAGTGAGTCATCACAAGGTTGACATGTTGTCACAGCAGACAGGAATAATGGATGAGTGTGTGTTAGAGATAACTGTTTGCTTTCTCATGTCTTACAGGGCAGATGAACGACCTGGATTTACCATAGTCGAGCCGAGACTACGAGATTATTATTATGACATTGCACAGTGATTCTTCACATGGATGTTAAGAGACTGTGGGTGATGAGAGAAATTACATTTAATATTGTACAAATGACTGGAGAGGATGGTTTGAAATATATATGCAGTTGAAGTGAACATTTATTGTTACAGCTAAAAACTATACAACCAACTGATTTGGTAGGTGTGTTTTATACTGGAAGCATTATATGTATTAAAGCTTAACCATTGCAATGTCATCAGAGATAAAAGCCTTGAATGAAGGTCTGATTGTTTCAGTGTGTGTGTTTCAGTTTATTTATATATAGCCAGATAGCACAAATCACACCACAGGATCCATAAAACATGCAATACCCTCTGTTCTATAGACCATTGAATTATGAGGAACCCCTCCCCCCCTAAAAAACTTTAACAGAAAAATAATAGATGGAACCTATGGAGGAGCAACAGAGGTGGGATCCCTCATCCAGGACAGACAGACATGTTGTGTGTACAGAACAGAGCAACAGTAAATTTACAGTATGGACAATCAAGATGACAAAGACAGATTGTAAACATGCATAAAGAATGATCTGGGATGATGCTGAGCAAGCCACAAGAACTCCATCAACATGGAGACCTGGACAGAGGACAGACTACCTAACACACAAGCAACAGACACAAGAAGAAGATGAAATTCCAGATCCAGAATCTGGAATGATGCACCAAGAGCCTGGCAGAGAAATAGGTCCCAGTACAGTCAATGATCCAGCACATACAGAGAGAGAGAGAGACAGACAGAGAGAGCGCACACCTTGGACGCTCATGTGCTTGAGGGACAACAAACAGGGGATTAGAGAGATGCAGGAGATCCGGCTGGAGCCAGACAGGACAGGAGCCGCAAGCCCTGTATCCTGAGAGCTAAGATGCTCAACAAGCTCAACTGCTCCAAAGCAACTGGTTTGATAATATTCCGGCTGGATTATTAATAGATTCAGCATCACCCATATTGTAAATCTGTCTGTGGAGTAAGGTCTTTTCCCCAGTGATCTTAAACTAGCTGGAGTGATTCCTCTCTTCAAGAAAGGGAGTAAAAACATCACAGAAACAATAGTTTCTATTAGCAATCATTTTTAATCAGATTGATTGTCCTCACACAATTTAAGGTAAACACAAGAAACTTGTGCTACAAGTTATTATATGAAGTTCAGTCTGGTTTTGGAACATCCCACTCCACTGACCCTTGTTTATTGTATCTAACTGACTCAATCAGGAGGGAGGTAGACAAAAGACATTTTTGTAATATAGCAATTTTCAATCTACAGGGAGCATTTTGCCATTTCCAAATGGGAAAGCCCATTTCCACCAATTAAAGAAAAAAATGTTAATTAAAAAATCATGCTAAGTCATAATTATGAGATAAAAATCGAAATTATGCAAAAAAAAAAAATTTTCAGCCAGGGTCCTCATGATCTTCTCCGTTCATTATGATTACAGGTTGGACTGAATCTGGTGCAATGATTAGTCGAACTGCTCTTCATGTTTTGCTTGTTGACAGGCCTTCTGAGAACTTCAGAGTGATAAATCAAACCAGCGTGTTTTGATGTCAGAAGGCATACAGGTTGGCAGGTCTGCATGAAGACCTTTGTTGTGTGTGGTTCTGATGCAGAGAGCTAAGCGCACAGCTTCCTCTGATTGAGACCGTGATGATGATACAGATACAGATATGGGCAGGTTGGGTTGAAATATTTGAAAGAGATACAGTATAAGAATCAGTTTGAAAATACAGTGGAACACTGGGTATTAGCACAGCAGTTAACTGCAGTAGGGAAAATTCAAGATGGCCGCTATTTCTAAGATGGCCACCATTTCTGGTTGCAATAAGTTCATCCACAGTTTTCCTATATAAATGATTAAGGTGTCAAATCATACATGTAAAAGGTGAAATTTAGTACACTGTAAAAAAATAAATAAAAAAAGATGAAATCTGCAGGCAAAAATATTACTCATAAAAAGCTTGCAGTTACAGTTACACACAGTTACACACAGTCAATTTCTAATGATCATGGTGACGTGTGCGAATGCAGCGGCTCTTTGCTCTCCGGTATTGGTGCTTTTTTTGTGTGTTTACTATTAAAACTTGGCCCGAGGATGCTCTATTTCAGCCACAGGACCACTTTGAACAAACAGCGTGGGATTTAGAAACTACTTTTCTACATCAAGACCTCTGTTGACAATGTCACTGTAGAGAAACACATCCAGATGTTTCCCAACCACAAACCCTGAACGACAAGCGAGGTCCAGATACTCCTCAAGAGCTGCAACACCACCTTCAGGTCAGGCCACTTGTCCTGGTACAGAACTGCCAGAGCTGACCTGAAGAGAGGCATCAAAGATTCCAAGGAAGCCTACAGATGGAAAATCGAGGACACCTCACAGACAATGACCCTTGGAGGGTGTGGCAGGGGATACAGCACATCACCAACTACAAGGGCAACACCAAAAGCAGTGTCAGCACTAACGTCTTGCTGGCTGAGGAACTAAACCACTTCTTTGCCTGCCTTTAGGTCACAGGCCTGCATCGGACTCTACGAGCATCAAACACCCTCACACTCACTAGCAGGAACATGAAGTGAGATGTGTGCTGAGGTCAGTAAACCCAAGAAAAGCTGCCGGCCCTGATGTACCATGCAAAGTACTCAAAGCATGTGCTGACCAGCTCGCTTGGGTCTTCACAAAGATCTCCAACATCTCCCTGACACAATCCACCATCCCACCCTGCCTAAAATCAGCTATCATCATCCCTGTCGCCAAAAAGCCAGTCTCCGACGAACTCAACAACTACAGACCGGTCACACTGACACCAGTGATCATGAAGTGCTTCAGGAGACTGGTTCTACATCCCATCAGAAGCAGCCCACCTCCCACCTTTGACCCACATCAGTTTGCCTACGGAGCACACAGATCTATTGAAGATGCCATCACCATAGCTACACACACTGTACTGAGCCACCTAGAACACAGAGGAAGTTATGTGAGGAAGCTCTTAATAGACTACAGCTCACAATTCAACACAATCATCCCAGACCCACTAGTCAACAAACTGTGTGACCTTCTGGATCGGCGAACACCACAGTGACGGTCAAAAAGGCACAGCAGCGACTGCCCTTCCTGAGAGTGCTCGGGAGGAACAACCTGAATAGGAAGCTGCTGGTGGCCTTTTACCGCGCTACTATTGAGAGCATCCTTACATACTGCATCTCTGTGTGGTACGCAGGTTCCTTAGCAGCAGACAGAAGAGCGCTACAGAGGATTATAAACATGGCACAGAAGGTTATTGGCTGCCAGCTCCTGTTATTTCAGCAGAGCCAATAACATCATCAAGGACTCCACACACCAAAACACACAACTCCAGACTCAGACACAATTTCTTCCCCAAGGCCATTAAAGTACTGAACGCTATGCAATAATCATCAACCAACTGCATCCCACACTGTGCAGTATTCATATAGATCTGAATGTTTGTACATATTTTCTTCTTTTTATAATATTTATTTTACCTTATTATTCTGTGTGTTACTGTTGTGTTGTTTTATGAGTGTGCACCAATTAAGGAGCTGTGCTCCAAATTTCGCTGTTTGTGGAGCTTACATTGACAATAAAGGCTTTCAATTCAATTCAATTCAGTTACACTGTTTTTACACAGTTAACCACAGTTACACACAGCTAGCTGAGATTGTGAGAAACTCCTAATCACAATTTGTCAAGATTGTACTACTTTAAAAAAAAATTAGATCATAACAATAAATGACAAAACAAGTTTTACCTCACATTGTTGTGGATTCTGTTCCTCTCCAGCAGCTAAAATAAAGGAACTGATCAGTTCAATGACATAATTTTTATTCCTCTGCGCCGGCGACAGTCAGAGCCGGAGCCATATTGTTTTCAGGTTGTCCGGCCATTCGTCCCCTTCCCGTGGACACGATATCTCCATAATGCCTTGAGGGAATTTCTTCATATTTGGTACAAGCATTCACCTGGACTCAAGGATAAACTGATTTGATTTTGGTGATCAAAGGTCAAGGGTCATGGTGACCTCACAAAACATTTTTTAGCCATTACTCACAAAAAAACATACAAAAAAGTTATGAAGGGGTCTGTCTCTCTCACTGTGGCTATTTGAATAAAGGGAAAACAACTTGTGACAAACCAGGCTGTGACACTGTCAACCGATCTGCACAGCAGCACAGCCCTTCTCTAACCGCCCCGGGCAGTGTAGACCTCCCTCCATTTTATAGAATAGGCCCCTCCCCCTGGACCATACCATCTTCTAATGGAATTAATTAAGTAATCAATTGAGGGCCACAGGCCGTTTCTCATATCAGAAACCCTTACAATAATATATTTACATTTGCTAACACACATCACAGGCATCTTCACAGAATTCACATAATATCCCAAACTAGGGATACAGAAACAACCACGTCTAACATCCCCCATCAACCGGTACGGTGCAGTGGGATGGACTGAGCATGCTCCTAATTCACTCAGGCACTACAAAAGCCAGCTGGACGCCAAGCTCAGGTCCTTTGACACTGGCCAGAACCAGGAAGTGCTGTGGTAATTGAAGAAACAAATTAATTTTCAACAATGGCCTTCAACCTTTAAACAATAAAAAATTAACTCAAAATGGTGTCTGTGTGTGTGTAACACAAAACGTGTGTTTGTATTGTAGGAGAAAATAGCACAGGAAACTTGCTAAGGTGTTAAATGTAGTTCAGTGTGTGCACCCACCAACTAGCAGTAGCAAGCTACCTGGCCAACATGTGGCATGTGAATTGTATGGTGGTGTGGGGAGCTGGTGTGGTGTGTCAACAGTGGCAGGGGAAACTGTCACATTACCTCCCCCCTCTCCTGCCGCAGCCGTGGTGGTCAGCCGAGACAGGTAGTCGGCCAACTGGTTGTTCTTGCCGGGTCGGTGCCGGATCCTGAAACTAAAAGGTTGCAAATCGAGATACCATCGGGTGATCCTAGCATTGCGATCCTTCATGGTATTGATCCAAGACAGAGCTCTGTCATCGGTTTCCACGTCAAACTCCCTTCCAAGGCTCTCTAGAGCCCATTTAATGGCCAAGACCTCTTTTTCGATAGTGGAATACCTGGTCTCCCGAGGTTCCAACTTACGACTGAGATATAACACCGGTCTCTCCTCTCCCTCGTCCCCTTGCGTCAGCACAGCTCCAATCCACCTGGACCACGAAGCGTTTCTGGAAGTCAGGACTACAGAGAACAGGTG